ACACGACGTCGGACGTCTCGAACACCTTGATCGGCAGCGCGTGCGAGCGGTTCTCGCGGATCGTCTTCAGGAGGCCCTGCAGCAGCGACGTGCGCACGACCTGGAACTCGAGCGTCTTCGGGTTCGCGATCCGCACCGCCTGCGTGCCGTCGTCCGTGCGGTTCAGCCAGTCGAAGTTCTCCTCGTGCGAGCACTGTCGGGAGAGGCGTCAGGGGCGCGGTGTGGCGGGCGCGGTGGGACTCACCAGAATCAAGGGGAGAGCCTCTACCCATCCAGCAAAGGCCCACTCCGTGCGGACAATGTCGCTGAGTTTGCTGATCGCCAGAGGTTGTGCTACGGTGCTGGTCTGAGGGAAGGTATCCGGTAAGTTGTTGAAGCCGTATGCGATGGCAGCGTCCTCCATGATGTCACATTCGTGGAGGATGTCAGGTCGTGTTGGGGGGATTTGGACGAGCACTTCATCCGGATCGTTAGGCGATAAATTCGCGTGCAAAGTCATGCGCTCGAGGAGATCTGCAACCTCTTTTGCACCGAGTGTGAGACCTGTACATGAATTGACGTAGGATGCATGGGCATTAGTCGATCTGTAGGTTAGATCTGGAGTGATACGGGTCGTTCCATCTGGATAGACTACTTTGCACGGCTCGATTCTAATATTTGATGAGGAAACTTCAGACACCATGTTGGCATTTCAACGAGGGTACCAACTCACGTGAAAGGTTCTTCACAATACTCGGAGAACATAGTAGTGAGAATATTAGCCACAATATTGAGCTTGGTCTCGTCGGTCGCAGTCATGTCGATGAAGACATTCCGTGTGTTGAGCGTGATTTTACTGTGATTGGAGTTGATTATCGGCGGCATCGAGAGCACCCTGTCGTTGGTGTCGTATATGATGGGATATACCGGAGAATCGCGGATGATGTGCAAATATCGTGCAATATGCTTCTCCGACTACGACACGGATTCCGCTAGGTGGACTTCGCGGATTGTGATACACAGATGCAGCTCACCTCGTAAACAGTCATCAGTTCCTCCGCTGTATATGACTGGTCTTTGTTCAGTGGCACAAAGTTGATGTTTTTAGGTGGCCTCGCCTCGTATCTGAACGGAGGCGTGAGTGTGTCCAAATCATGGGTACCAATGGCGACAAATTGACGCCGTCTACAGAGATTCTGGTGCAACTTGTCCTGCAAGTCGATGAAAGAATCGTATGATAGTTGTGTAAACTTGACATTCCGTAAGATCGCACATGCAAAATACGGCCGGATTTGTTTTGTCTAAACCATGTTCAGTACGGGCAGGGGAAGCCTGTCGATTTAGAAGAACATGCCTCAGGAGAAATCGTGGTGGTGAGAAGATTCGCTTCTCCTTCCTTCGGGTAGACGAGTCTGTACTGCGGTGCCTTCTGGAGCCCCAAGAAAATACGAAGGGCCCGTGCTATCCCTTCGATGCAAAGTAGATCATATCTAACAATGGACATTATTCTCTTATAGGCAGCCGTCATTAACACGTTTCCTCACCTATTTGCAGGAATTTCGATCTTGAGTTGCTACAATATTTCGACACTTTAGAGCAGGCAGTAATTGAGTACGCTGCACTCACTGGACGTTCCGTGGGCAATCCCTTCTTCCTCGCGGCTTCAACCTCCTCTGTTGTCTATGTGCATACAGTCGCGTCGGCGCTACATATCTAGTAACATGTAACTCACGTCTTCATCAAGCTCAAGTCCGAACTCGAAGAGCAGTCGGTCGAATTCATCTGCAGCTGAGCACCGGAGTCAATCATAGAATGCCGCGAGTACAACAAGATTCACAGTATGCGCGACCGAGTCTCCGCCAGAGATCCTCTTTGTCTACAGCAACGGTGGGCATGGTTATTCACACCCAGATCAGTGCGATGATTCTAAGCGGACGATGGAGCCCGCGCTTTCAAGCATCGACTTCTGAGATTTCATCACGCTCGATCGTCGAGTCACTGTGGCAAGACCCGGGACACCGATCTCATTAGACGCCTAACAGCTTCAAGTAGTACATAAGTAATGCCATCCTACAATAGGATTGTCGAATAGTTTAAATGCGTATCTACGCCAATTATTATACTTTACGCGTACATGAGAAATACAGAGGCAAGTGAATATGCACGCTGTAAATTTTCACTTCCGGTAGAACTTGGCGCAAGGTATCAGCAAATGGACAACAACGGCAGAATAGTGGGGGACATACATTACGACGGAAGTTAAACCACAGGGACAGACATCCTCTATCAAAGCTACTACGGAAACCCCTGTATAGATACATCAGTGAGAATAATACTACGGGATGAACGGCGGTCAACTCACCGTTTGTGGGAGAATTCCCACTCTCTGTTAACAATCCTAAAGGCGATGTCTTCGTATGGTGGTCCGGCGCTGAAGTGAAGCAAGACGGTATCATCATTTCCCGGCTCCTTGACGATCTTGTAGGTCGGAGCCTTGGATTTGTCAATGAGATCAGGGTAGAATATGTTGAACTGGGAACAATGATATTAAGTTCAGACACAAGTAGCATGCCTTAGAACTACGTACCTTGTATCCTTGTACAACCTTTGGAGGAGGATTGTCGGTGCTATAAAGACAATAAGCAAAATAAAAATATCGGTGGTGGATCAGACATACTCGTAATGAGTTTGATTGTACTTGTTCCATTCATAGCCGGTATGGACACGGTTAAAGTACCTGGGCTTCCGTGGCCGATATTTATCTTCCCAATTATAGGACGTTGGATGAGCGATGTTCTCTTCGATATTGAACAGCTCCTCTTCCTCATCAAGCTCCCTCTCAGCCTCGGCACGATACAAAGCCTCAGATGCAAGATCGATACCAATTGGAGTTTCTGCAACAGGAACCTCCACCGGAGTCTGGGTAGTTTTAGGAACGAAGCGCGAGGCAGTGACCGCACGTCGTTGTTCCATCTGCACAAGTGTAAGATTTGCTGTGATGTCAAATCAGAGAGAGAGAAAACTTACAAGAGCACGAAGATCCTCTTTCATAGTAACGATATCTATGTCACGCTCGTCATAGGGTAACTTCCGGATGTCAAGCAACTCTGGACTCATAGACCTGTCGTACTCCTCCATCTCCCCAGCAGCCTCAGCCTCTCGCTGGGCACCATCAAGTACTGGTATGACGCTGCGGACTTCGCCTCTAGAAGCAGATTTGGCGACACCAGCAAGCAATTCTTCTTGTGCTTGTAAGGCTTCGTCCCTCTGGCGTTTACGAAGTTGCTCGAGGCGGTTCCTGACAACTACCTCATGAAGAACTTTCAGCTTCGCCTGTGAGTGATTTAGGAGGGGGATCGTCTTCGAGAATTGCGATAATCTCACCTTCGCCTTCCAGACTAAGAGTTTCTTTAGCAATCCCTCCCAATAGTCAACGTCGATAGGTTCCCCGCTTGTCAACTTAGTCTGAACTTGCTTTTGGAGAGCAACTAGATGGTCGTAAGATTTCCCCCGAAGGAGAGCTGTGATATCAGCTTCAACAGCGGCTGCTGCTTCCACACCGAGGCGTTTGTTGGCTTTGATGCGATCGAGTTGGTCTTTGCATATGACCATCATGTTCTGTTCAGAGAATTTAGCCAAGAGGAAAATGCAATATCGTGGATGCGTACCGTCCAGAACTCGATATTGACTTCAGACTGCTCTAGTCTCAAATACTTCTCAATGTCATCGTGTAATTCCTCTACCTGTTCAGGTGAGAGACTCTAGAAAGAGGATAAATGCACGAAAAGGCATGAAAGTGTGTTGCCGCTCACGTCGAAGATGTTATACGGCTCATCCAAGTCGATTTCCAACCCATCGTCTGCTTCTTCCTCTTCCTCATCCGGGGGATTCACATATCGCAAATTGAGTGCCAAGAAGTCAATTGCCTTAGCCCTTTTCTCCTTGATGCGGATTGCCGCTCGCATGCGCTCTTGCTCGAGCTGAAAGTCTTCTTCTTTCGATAGCCAATCGGCCATCTGCACAGACTCTGCGAGCCTCTGCATCCGGATTTCTTCCTCCTCTCTCAACCTTTGTTCGGCCTCTCGTTCCGCGCGACGCTTGTTCAACCTTTCTAATTCTTCCTTCGCCTCCTGCCGTCGAATGGCATCTCTCCTTTGCGCCTCTTCAAGAGATAAGCCTTGCTTCCTCTCCTTTTCATTTTTCTTGTGCCACCGGAATTGTTGACTTAGATTAACGTCATGGAATGGATTGTCGGTAGCGCTGTACACGCTCAACTCCGCTACCTGTCGCGCTTCCTCCTCCTCTCTTGCTCTGCGCTTTTCCGCTTTGCGTGCCTTTCTGTCTACAGACTTATCTCGCCTTTGCCTATATATCATATATGGATTGCTATGCATGAAGTAACAGAATGCACACGCACTTTTTTTTCTCCCTCTCCCCGCTCTGACTTCTGTCCCTCCTACGTCTCCTACGGTCTTCATCACTGTCTCGACTCCTACTGCGAGTTCTGCGCGACCTGTGTCTGCTATCATCGCCAGAGTCATATCTGGGTCGTGTGTCTCGATCTCGTTCCCGGGACTTATCGCGAGGCCGGTCGCGGCCGTAATCTCTAACTCTCGGGGATACTGAGCGTGAATGATCCCTCGCCATGTCACTTACGAAGGTGAATGCGTGAGTGTTCACTTACACTCGAGGCCGACGGAGGATGGTGGCGATGGTGGTCACGGTGGCGCAGACTGAAGGCGCGCGTCAGTGAGTTTATGACCCCCGCGCGCTTCATATGATCATGATTAAGTAAGTTCAAATTGAAGCCTGCTAGTGGTTCCAACTTGATAGTTCCAGATTTGAACGCGAAAAGCTGGCGTTTGGCAGTGCGCATAGAATTTTGGGAGTCGGCTTCAAATCTTTTAGACGCACGGGGCATGCCAGTGGGTCTCTTTTACAATCCGCGAGGGCACGTCGGGTATGCGTAAACGTACACTGAAAATCATCGGATTCTCAAAGTACATTGGTACATTGAAGCCTGTAGTACACTACGGTGCAGTAACGAAGATATAATTCAAACAAGTTCCCATTCTTCTCCCGCATCATTTACCTTGAAAAGATGCCCCACCTCATCCACGCCGTTATAAACGACGCTGAACGAGCCGTTACTGAAGTCTGCGAACTTAAACCTATTCCCCGAACTCGCAATTACCAGCTGCGATCCAAGATAACACTGGGAAACAGTGACCGAAAGGTCACTAGGGGTCATGATGTCAATGTCGTCGGACCCGATCATGATAGCACCGCGATGGTCGGTGGTGCCTGTTCTGGTGATCCGGACACGGAATCGAGTGCGGTAGCGGCGCGATGCAGAAACAAGAGTACCCTGTTCGACTAAACCAGATTTGCTTGGAGGACAGTACCAGAATTGTGTAGGATCGGCTTTCGAGCGTATGAAAAAGCTAGATACAATTAGCTTACAGACAGTACGTTTCATGACCGCTAACAACTTACAAATCACCACTAACGTGGTCAGTCACATTTTGCACGGGAATGGTAGACAATGTCCTCCCGTCTCTATCGACAATAAGTGTGAAGAACACCTTGCCTAAAAATGCCGGAGCGACATTGGCAGTAATGATGGAGTACGCAATGTTCGCAATGTTTGGATTATGGGTGTAGAATTGCGGATTGATCCTTTGAACGCTACTAACATAACTTGGGTTGCTCGACGTGGACACAGTGCGCCACCATTCATCTGCGACGGCGCGACTGGCAAAGACAATCACATAGCGCCAAGTAACGTCATCGTTGATCTAATAGAAGTATGAGATCGCTGATAATAAACTGAGACAGTTTGCTTTGGACATACGTTCTTTGCAAATGCGTAGAATATGCCCATGATGACTTGAGTTAGGGAGGAGAGCGGTGAGCTGATCAATCAACAGTAAATCTCGACGACTCTTATACTCTGCGACTGCATGAGAAGCCCAAGTCATCGGCAGGTCTCGCGGGGTCAATGTCGACATAGACAGCTTCCAAGATACAATGCACCACGCGCGCACCTCATGTGCCCTTGAATGAGTGTGAGTGGACTTTCCAAGGAGCCTAGATGAACTAGATATGCCACCTGTAGCGCTTCCGATATTAAAATCGTGCATATGGGCCATTCAAGTTCGCACGTCGACCGAAATCTATGAAGGTCGATGCGCATTAGTGCCGTATTCCCTTCATCAGTCAAGGCACGTCACGTCTTCTCGTGGGCACAGAACTTGCTCGACTCCGTACCATCTTTGTGTCTTGTGTGCCAACCAAGCAAGTACTGTCCGGCACACCTTATGCGTTTTCACCTACTGGAGGACAATTATTACCGCTAATATGAGTTAGCTCTCCTCAAAGATTGATTAGGGATCATTGGGCCACATCTTTAACTGATCGAGTAGATAAAGTCGAGGGACTTACGAATCTCCGAAACGAGGATCTACATGTGTAATGGAGCCTCGCTGCTTCATCGTGGCACGACTTGAGAGACCGTCTTCTCTGGGGCCGACAAGAATGGATCCGACTGGGAACGTACCGCGGTGAAAGCAACGCTCCGACTTAGAGTGCAAATTCGTGAGACGTGATGCATCATATGAACGGTCCTGGTGCTGCAAATTGAGACATTGTTAGGTACAAGGGAATTTCGAAGTCAATGTGGGTATGAGACGGTTTAAAAAAATCAAGAGTTATCCTGGAGAGCGGAAGGATGTGCCGAGCCCGACAAGATATTGTTCATGGATGATACTATTGACGAAAATATATACCTATAGATTTGACAATAGGGACGCATCCTGAATACATAGACCAACTTGCGATCCAAGCTGCTTCGAGTAGTGTACTTCGTCTCTATCAATCGATTGTGCTGGAAGTCTCAATCATTCCAGGTGCGCTGCGGCTGCGAGGATGAATATGTGCGGCAAACTGAGGAGTGTTCACTTACATTCGAGACTGCAAACTTGGGGATTCGCGAAGCAGTACCGTCAGGCTCCCAATTCATCATCTCACCAGCGGGAGAACAACTGAGAACAAGCGCTTCGTAAATTGGCGGGCGCTTCACACCCCGAAATTACCTCTGCGTGATTCGTGCTCATCGAGTCTCGCGACGGCGGGGGCGTGGCACCTTGGCCGCAAACACGACCGTCTTTTGCTACGCATAGTTTCGAGTGCGCTGTATAATTCTCTATTGTGGGTGGCCTGGCGACATCATGGCAACACGCTATTCCCGCTACCTGTTTCCGTTGACCCGGAATATACGCACACAAGCCCGCTACGATTATACGCCCCTGGATGCCGAATCGAGCAGAGGGCCATTTTACTCAAGACCTCCAGGATTGACTACACCAAGACAGGTGCATCCTTTGGATTCTTGTTACTTTGCGTGGTTGTTGTATCTGACCATGAGATGTCATGATGATACGTAGCTAGTGCAGTTCTTAGATGAGTTTGTGATTGGACAGGAGAATGCGAAGAAAGTCCTGTCTGTTGCGTACGTGCTAATGCCTGACGGATATAATTGTGCGATTCACTGAAATCATTGAAGCGTGTTCAACCATTACAATCGCGTACATGCAAATCTGTCTATGATGGATGATAGCAGTGGCGATGCAGATTGGGTAGACCAGACAGCTGAGGAAGGTAAGTCTCTCAACGCCGTCTAGGTCAGCATACAACAATTTCATCAGCACGACTTGGAGTGTCGCCTGCGCATCTACATCCACATCCCAACCGGATACCACTGTATACAATGCCACTTCAGCCCCGACAGCCAATGCCATTGTTCGAGAAGAGCAACGTCCTTGTCATGTGTGTAACTGGACGAATTCATCTAATATCTCATGCTCACGGGGAATCATTTCTGTATCTGTTAGTGGGCCGACTGGATCTGGTACGCAATGTCGCCACTACGTATAAAGACGTACCACAGCTGAACATTTTAGGCAAGACACTGTTGGCGAGGACATTGGCAAAAGTTTTGGACGTTCCTTTCTCAGTCAGTGACGCGACCTCGTTTACGCAGGTACGCAAGACCAGTGTCAATATCATTGACGAGACCGTTGACCGCTGGCCAGGCAGGCTGTCCGTAACGTTTAGTACGAGTTTTATGAGATAAATTAACTCATAGCTAATGGTAGATGTGGGCGATGATGTGGATGCGTGTATTCAACGGCTGGTACGTTCCTTATTCAGTTCATGCGATCTAATTTTCGACGCCTGTACTTTCTAGCTACAAGCAGCAAACTGGGATCCATATCGCGCGAAGTATATTTTCCCTCATTCTCATAAGTCCACATATTAATAATGCAATGTCACAGTATGGGTATAGTGTACATCGACGAAATCGACAAGATTGCGCGGAAGTCTGGCAGTGGTGGTGTCGACGGCACACGAGATGTTGGGGGCGAAGGCGTTCAGCAAGCATTACTTCGCATGATGGAAGGCACGACTGTCACTGTCCAAGCGAAAGGGGCTGCCGCTGTTGCTCCGCCCATCGGAGGCGAAGGCCGGACAAGAGCGGGCCCGCGCAATCCCGGTCTGGGCGGTCGTGAGTTGTTTTGTATAATGTTTATCAAAACTCTAGCAATGACACTTTGTATTATAGCCCGGCCAGAAGCATATTCCATCGACACTTCTAACGTCCTCTTCATCTTAAGTGGCGCATTCGTTGGTCTTGAGAATATTATTAAGAGGCGTGTTGTCAAAGGGGTAGGGAGGACCTTTCGTTATCAAAATTACATTGATCTCGTATCCACAGTCGATCGGCTTTACTGCCAATCTTTCATCAAACTCGGAAGCAGAGACACCCTCAGCAATGCCATTCTTCACGCCCAATAAGAGGTCGAAAGCAAGCGTTCTTGACCACGTTGAGCCTGATGGTATGGCATTCTTCTGTTGGTTGCGAGTGCTATTTGACTTACTTCCGCACCCGCACAGATCTAGTCAAATATGGGTAAATTCAGTCTCCACATTAGTCAATAATTTCTAATGGTGTGATATCAACTGTCTTCAGTTTTATACCAGAGTTCATTTCGCGAATGCCTTCTCTGACCACGCTGTCGCCATTGACCCCATCGGATCTTCGGCGAGTCCTCACTGATGTTCGAGGTTCTCTAATATCGCAATACACCGCGTTATTTGGATATTCCGGCATTGAGATCCGATTCACGAGTGCTGCACTAGACGAAATATGTCGGAATGCAGCTGAACGTGGTGGAGGCGCGAGAGGTCTTAGAGGAATCATGGTATGTGGAACTGTCTCATGAATGCTAGTAATCTCACTATCGTCTCAGGAGTCTCTGCTACTAGAACCTATGTACGAAGCCCCGTAAGTTCGCATAGCTTTACTTTGTTTGACTTCGCTCACGAGGTTGGCGTTGACCTTGATGCCATAGGGGATCGGTAAATATATATTCCATACACCACTTTGATTTGGCTGATTGATACGAACAGTCAATCCGGCACATTCTCATCACGGACGCCGTTGTAAAGGGTGAAAAGTCTGCGCAATATTGGACAAAGGGCGAAGCACCAGAGTTTTGGGCAGCATGGGCAGAGGAAGAGGAACGATATCCGGACAATGGGCTCGGCAGATTGCACTGACCTCACGTGTGGCAATATGTACTGGTATATCTAGATGCTGTTGTACTACTTGCCGTGTAATAGGGAAGGTTTTGCGTGTACACAATCTCGCGTGTTACAACAGGAGGAAGGCCAAAAGTATTCATTATGTTCATCTACATTGTCATGTGCGCCACAAGGTTATCGGAGAATGGTTAACTCGGAATCCGTGCAACAGGGAGAATGTGCGCCCCTAGACATTTACTCTTCTTTCGTCTCTTCTGTGGTCTCCTCCGCCTTCTCTTCCGTAACCTCGGCAGCGGGAACCTCCTCTGACGCTTCCTCTGCAGCAGCCTCCTCTGGATTCTCTGGCTTCGTCTCTTCAGGACCATCTGTCGAAGCAACGATGCCCACATTTGTCTTCTGTGCGTCCTCGAACGCCTCCTTGAATTGGGCCGCGTCTAGAGCACATGGTCAGTACGGTTAACATTGGTGCGAGATAATGAGAAATTAGACTCACTGTCGGCGTTGGCAAAGCGTATAGCAAGCGTCTCGGATGACGGAGGAGACTCAGAGTAGTCTGCGGCTACCTTCCAGACCCAACTTCTGTCAGAGCCAATGTTTGGTTGCAGCTTCATGTCGGAAGAGACTGCATCAAAAAAACATAAATGGAGCAGTTCATAGATAATTCATGTAACTGACTCGCGTGGTTCGCGCAGACTTTGAGCGTCTTATCGCGCCTCATCACTAGCCGCACCTTCTTTGTTTCCTTGTGCGCGAGCAGACGAACATCACCTGTACCACGTTCCTTCCACTCTGAGGAGTCTGTCGCGAATCGAAAGAGCTTTGCACGCCTTTGTTGATTTCGTGGACGCGCCATCATAACAAGTTAGGGAAACAAGTGTGTGTATGAGATCGAGACGCACATTTTAAAGAGGACTTCCTCGTCTTCCTCGTGTGTCTTCGTCTCTACTTGCTCAGTAAGCTTGATGACAGGCTCAAAGTGGGGGTCATGCTCCTCTTCCTAAATGTAAGACTAAATAAGTTGTCTGCCTCACCAGGGGTAGGGGAAGGCAAGATCGCGTGCATCGATGGATGCCATCTAGGAAGGAATATAGATGAATTGCTTACCCGGGGCGCAAGAGCATCAGAGGCATCGGCCATGTTGATTGTACTTGGGGGGTGGCGGGTCGGAAAGGAACGAAAAACACAGAACGAAGAAAGATGGCTGAGACTCGATCGCGTGTTTAGTCCACTAGAGCCATGCACCGGTGAGGACCCCGTGCACCGCCCTCCGGGTCTCGCTCCGTCTGCGATCGCCTCGAGCGCGCCGAGCGCTGAGCACAACCATCCGCTGCTGTGTCCGACCATCATGCCACGACGCTATACCCTCTCGTCTTTCGTGCTATGTTTGTCGCTCATTGTTCTCATGCCTGCTCTCGTCTCCGCCCACATGATTGAAGTGTCCGCCGGAAAGAAGGAATGTTTCTTCGAAGATCTACACGTTAATGACAAAGTCCGTGTGTTCTCCACGTCTCTCTCATGCCGAGTACTGATGATGCCCCAGATGACAGTGACCTACCAAGTTGGCGGTGGTGGTCACCTGGACATTGATTTCTGGGTATGCGGACTCTTGCATGTTTTCCATACCGCATTACATGGCCCCCCAGCTTCAAGATCCAGACAACAACGCCCTAGCGAACCACCAAAGACAGAGCACCGGCTCAATATCAATCACAGCAAAGAGAGATGGACGATATACGTACTGTTTCTCCAATCTCATGAGTACTGTCGTCGATAAACTCGTCAGGTCAGCCCCCTGCCTTCACGCCATGCGCACACTGAAATATCTCACGAGTGTTCCTAAACCCAAACTTCAGTTTCAACGTTCATGGCGTAATCTTCGTTGACGACGACGGTATACTTTATCACTAACCACGTTCCGCGGTGTACTGAGTATATGCAGATACCGTGGCACCCATTGAGCGCGAAATCCGTGCGCTAGCCAACGGCCTCACTGCTGTGAAAGACGAGCAGGAATACATCACAATCCGGGAACGAAGGCATCGAGACACCGCAGAGTCGACGAATGCGCGAGTGAAATGGTGGTCTATCTTTCAGGCAGGTGTGTTGGTTGCTGTGGTAGCCTGGCAGGTATATTACCTCAAGGTATGTTGGCTCCCTAGTTTGTTCATGTATCAATACATCCTCATGCTCCATCCAAGTCCTTCTTTGAGGTCAAACGTGCATTTTAATTAGGATAATCAAAGAACATTTGATCACTGTAACTGCCTGAATACTGCTGCAGGCTACAGAGCGATATTTAAATGAGCATGTCCGTGACGCGAGGTATACACTCCTCAAAGCGGTATCCTTGTCAACTTAGTACTATTGTTAGGTCTCGTTTAGCTTCTGGGCGCCACATTTGTTACCACTCGAAAGAAAGGACACTAACATCACAAATTCGTATGAGAGAACTTGCGGTAACAAGGCACGATAGTAAGAACAGGGTATCTAACGCAAAACAGGAGTCATAATATGACAACAGTATAGGAGACATAGCAATATATAGAAAGTCGTCATGGCTAGTCATGATGTAACGTCGCACACAAACACTATACAAGATCGGGATCTGGAATTCTCGAGTGTACATTCTGTTTGAAAATCTTCACCTCCACGTAGGCCTACCGCTCCCTCTGAAGCTGATGTCAACGCTGGTGTTTCCATCGGGTAGTTTTGGCTTCGCGGATGTCGTGGGTCTGGTAGACGAGACTGCAAGCAGTGACATCCTCTTTAGCCTCTTCGCGGGGGATCGCTCTCCAAGCTGGACTCTCCTCGCACCTCCACTCATGCTCTTGCCTAATACCTGTGATGTGTTCCCAGAGTCGTTGCTCTCGTGATCGACCGGCGAGAGTTGTGGGATCATACTCGACCTCCGCCGCGGTCGATCACTCCGGACAGGGCCAATGTTCGACCTTCGTCGAGCACCCTTGCTCATACCGACAGTTTTTGGCGTCATTGGTACCCGCTTGGTTGGACTACCGTGTTGGCGGTCCTTTCCCTTGGGGATGTGCAGGGTGCTGATGGTGCTGGAACCGCTAGACGAGCCCTCCGGTGAAGGAATCCGGTTCATGCTCCGGTCTGACAAGGGATTTCCTCTCTTAGTTGGAGTGCCTTGAAAACCTGGTCCGTCCTCGTCGTCTTCAGCGAGACTACCAAGTGTTGAGCCTCTTGACTTCGATCTCAAGAAACCGGGATCGAGGCGGCTTGCTCTGGGTCTCTTGCGCACAGCGTGAGGGGCACTGAAGGAAGTAGAGACATCTTGGAATGAAGTTTGTGCGAAGCTGAGATTGACACTGTCCTCCGTCTTCTCATCTTCCCATTCACTCTCCGAACCTCCAGTGGACATGCTTCGCTTAGATGAACTCGGGACCAGCTCAGATGCTGAGAAGGACGCAGACGTGTTCGGACTGGTTACTGTTATGACTGGTCCTGTCGAACCTAGGCCACCATCGTCGATATCACCCTGCCCTGCTTCATCGCGCCACTGCACTCCCTTCTTCTTTCCCTTGTTGTCCGATACACGTCTATACGGGAGCGACGCCGACGCGAAACTTGACCGCAATGACTTCCGTGGACTCTTATGTGCCTTTCGTAGTGGAGAGCCAGGGGCAGAGGCACCATATGACGATGAGCGCCGTGAGACCTTCGCTCTAGAATTGTCGGAGACAGTTGGTCCAGAGGTTGTCCGACCAACGCCTAGAGTCGCGGAATACCCTTTAAAGTTATCAAGGGATGGAGGTCCCTGGCCCACGGCATATGCACCGAGGGCGTGCCCGAGCACCGCTTTGAATGTCTCATCATTGCTCTCCGTGACTTTCCCAAGAGACGAGGCGAGAGCTTTGACCGTGGCCTCGATCCCGTCTCGCCCTTCGGCCGCTGCAGTACTCAGGATACGGCTTGCCTCGCCGAGCATCACCGTGCACCTGCTCAGCATGCCTACTAGACTCACGACGGTCTCCGCTTGGCTCACCACTGCCTCTTGCAGCGCGGTTTTGCTTGCCTCAGCTTTAGCGCGTTCCATCTCAGCTTTCCGCCATCGCGCATCCAGCCGCACATTGTCCACTGCATATTCGTCCAACTTGTCAGACCGCCGTTCGCTGACAGCGCGGAGAGTTGCTTCAAACATGGCACCCGAATTGTTTGACCGCTGCACGCGCGCGTTTAGCTGAGACTGAGATTTGACCACCTCTTCCTCGGGTCCTGCCAGAGCCTTTAACAGCTGCCGCTCCGCTTCCGAGTCAGATGAAAGCGAGGACGAAGACGCCTGTGCATCTAGTACCGCAAGGCGAGCACGGATTACCTTGAGCTTTGCTTCCGCAACGGCGATCTTGCCCGCACATGTTGCACCGTCCACGATGGATGGCTGCATTTGATCGGCTTTCACCTGCATATCGCTCTTGGCTCTTTGGGCTTCGGCAGCCGCCTCTTGTCGCTTTCGCTTCTCTTTCTCCGCCTCAGAGTCCCGCTTCCCGGCCAACTTCTGCTTGAGTTCGGCGACCTCAAGATTGAGACGATTGATGGCTTCGACGTACTGTCCAACGTGGCGATCCACGTTGACCACATTACGCGTGACGACTTTGGTTTTGATGCGTGTTGCGCGTTCCGCGTAAACTAGGGTGTTCTGCGTGTCGTCGAAATGGAGAGAAGTGGGCGCGATGCAGACAATCATCACCGTCTTGCAGTTCCCGCCAAGGGAGAACTTGAGGAGACGCGTAAGCTTGCTGTTACGATACGGAACATGACGAATGGCACCACCACTCTCGCAGAGCGCGTTGATACAGTTTCCGAGGGCAAGAAGCGACTTGTTGATGTTCGCGCCTTCCACCATACGCTGGCCCATGTTGGTTGTTGCGGCAGCACGCTCGCTACCGGCCAAATCGATGATGGACAGTGTTGCCATTGTCCGCTCCTCAGTAATGTTGGCAGTTCGCGGGGCTTGAGTGACGTGCACCTGGAGTACGGCATGCGATCGCGAGGACGTCTCATTGGCATGTGTTGGCGACTGCGTCCTGCGCGAGTTGCCCAGCAATACGATCTGTTTGACTTCATCCGCATTACTTGGACGCAGTTCAGTCAGCCCAACGACTTTCACAGCCTTGTCCTCGCGAATTTGAAGGCCACCGCGTGGAGTAGGAGTACCCGACTCAGCGAGGAGGTCCCGGATTTCCTCATTGTAGATCTCGAGAAATGTCACAGTGACATCGACGATCGCCTCTTCTCGTCTATCCTCTATTTGTTGGAAGAGATCGGCCATTGTGAGGTAGATGATCCCGGGGTCGGAATCTGTGCCGCTAATTGTGTGTGTCTTGCCACAGCCGGTGGCCTGTGAGCGTTGCATCCCATGAGCATAAAGCGAGAAACACAAGGAGCAATGGAGCTCACACCATAAGCAAATATCGTTGCATTGAACCCATCTAAGAGATTTTTCAAGAGAGGCTTGGCTGTGTCGCGATAGATACCCTGTTGATTTGCTTGGTGGTCAAAGACTCTGTCGAAGATGAAACGTCTGTCTTTGTAGCGTTTTGTTCCTGGAGGCACAAAGCCGCGTTCGACGAACGCTCTTGACGGATCCTTTTCGTCGGGATCGAAGGTCAGCACGCGGTCGTCGACAATCTGGATGACGTCGCGAAGGGGCGCTGAAGTCGTAGCTGTTCTTGCGGGTGCAGAGAGTGCGCCTTCGCCTCGGATGCAAGTGTCATATGTCATTTGAGGAAGTCGTGCCGCCTCCCATGATGTTGGTGGGCGGACGCGAACTACATACATCATGGGTCGCGTTCAGTGCTACTTTCGCGACGCGACTTAACAAAGGGCAGATACCGACCTGCGACTGTGATGGAGCCTGCGGCGACCATGTCTGTTCAGTTCTGTCGTCCAATTTCTGCAGCACTGCCGGCGCTGTCCGTCTCGTGGGGGGGGGGAAGAGCAACGGTCGCGTCCTTGAGGTGATTGGTAGAGTTGAACAGTCAACATTGGCAACCAAACCCGAGACACGCGTTTTCCACGTGATCGTGACTCGGTGGATCGCTCGCTTACCCTCCGCCACCATGTCCGATTCGCAGTCGACCATTGCGGTCGCATCGCCCGCAGACTTTCACGTCCATCTGCGCCAGGGAGAGTTGTCTACGCTTGTCACCAAGCATGTACGACAGGGCGGATTCAACGTGGCATACGTGATGGTGAGGCTTCACTGAATCTTCGGCTTTCTGCTCTTCTCGTTGATCAATGAGATTTAGCCCAATCTCAAGCCGCCCATCACCACCACCGATGAAGCACTCCTCTATCGAGCGCAATTGCAAGCTATTGACCCGGCTGTTCAGTACCTGATGACCCTGTACTTATCCCCGGATCTTACTCCCGACGAGATCCGCAAGGCAAGTCGCGCCGGCATAGTAGGTCGGTCCCTCACCATATGAACCACGACGTTCTGGGCGTGTTCACTTTGTTTCAGGCGTCAAGTCGTACCCTCGTGGTGTTACGACGAACTCAGATGGAGGGATTGAATCTTATGAAGCTTACTACCCTGTCTTCGAGGCGATGGAAGAGGAAGATATGGTTCTCAACCTCCACGGGGAAGTTCCTTCAGACGCTGCAGCGAACACGTGTGTTCTCAACGCCGAGCCGGCGTTTCTACCGCATCTGCGGAAGCTCCACGCGCGGTTCCCTCGTCTCCGCATTGTGCTCGAGCATGCGACCACTCGCGCGGCGGTGGACTGTGTGAAGAGTCTAGGAGACACTGTGGCATGCACGATTACGGCCCATCACCTCGCGCTCACTGTAGACGACTGGGCCGGGCAGGCGTGGAACTTCTGCAAGCCCGTCGCCAAGTATCCCGATGACAGACAGGCCCTTCGAGACGTGATTAAGCAAGGTTTGTGGTTCGCTGAGACTGAAGATCGCGCCCATGTCTCAACGGCAATGTTCATTTCTGCAGGCCATCCGCGCTTCTTCCTCGGCTCCGACTCCGCTCCTCATCCGCCGGAGACGAAGAGCAGTGCTACGCCTCAGCACGCGTGTGCTGCCGGGGTGTACACATCCCCCATTCTCCTCCCCCTCGTCGCGCAGTTGCTAGAGTCATTCGGCGCGCTTGATCGTCTGGAGGGTTTCGTGAGCACCTATGGCCGTGCGTTCTACCGCATTCCAATTGCTTCTGGGGAAGCCAAGGTTACTCTCAGACAAGTGCAAGGGAAGATTATCCAGGAAAAATGGGCAGAGGGCAACCAGAGTGTGGTTCCATTCTGGGCCGGAAAAGAGCTTGTGTGGGAGATCGTGGGCTAGTTGCGCCATGAATCTTTGCGATTTTGAAAGGGGTTGATCTTACGCATAGCAGAAATTTTAGACTGTAACATACGTACCGTAAGAACTGACATGTTGCACGCGAAGGCTCTCCGTCGGTCGAGGATTCCAATTCTTCTTGACTGCTACAAGGAGATGTAGTGATTTGCCTCCAGTCTATCAGTTTTTTTTATCACTGTGGGATCACTCGAGCAAACATGTGAACGTGAGGCTGTGGTGGTCGCGCAATCCAATGCGTAGCTAGTGCGTCGTCGCGCCGCGGCGGAAGGCCTCGCTTCATAGAAGCACGGACCACGTGATACGTGCGTGTCAAACGCGTCGCGTCGAGTACTCGCATTCAAAATGTCACATAAGATATTGGACACGATTTGATCCCTGTGCAGTAAATTTCAAATTTATGGATCCGTGTGGTACACACACACTCCGACCATATCATGTAACAATATTGTTTGTCGGCATGTGGGCAGACATAGCTTAATGACAGTCCTGGGAAGGGCTCATGGTCGAAGAGAGAGAGAAGCCTGGACCTCAATGACAACCACGCTCGCACAATGTGCAAAAGCATGACAAAGATTGACCACACGGTTTGCATAGGCGTCCACATGTGAATGTTTCATAAGTCAGAGCTTACCGCTTATGGCTCCGGGGTGGTATTGGGTGAGAGACTGTCCTCCAAGGTTGTCGGGAAGCCTGAATTGCAAATACACGAGTGATGAAAGCACGAGTAAAATAAATAAGATGCGAAAAGATCAAATAAATGCACGTCACTGATAGAATTAGAATCAGTATTGCCTAGGAAGTACCAACTGGCCACCAGCTGTGCCTAGCGTCCGAGACACGTTAGTCTGACTGATGGACGCTAAGCGCAGGGTCATTATCGTAGGTGTGGTAACGAGGGGGGAGAACCCGGGACATGGATTGATGCATGACGAGAACACTGGTGGTCGGTCCGGACGACAGGCCAAAGAGGGCATGGGGTGCGAGCGGGTTAGCAGCGTGTGAACGGATGGAGAGACGGAGGATAGAAATTCCTGACTGGGTCAAGGAACCGTCAAGATTAGTGTTGGTAGTAACGCAACGTGTGATGGCGGAGTAAGCTGGTCGATTGCTGGAAATGGCTTGTAGCTGTAGCAATCTGGAGAAGTGATTGGCAAATCATGTCGGCAGCCGGTAAGCGGGGGGAGCAGGGGGAGCCTCTCGCGGGTAGGGTCATAGTCGTCACGGCGCGCTTTTTGTGAGCAACTGGCACGGGAGACAACTCTGGGCGGGGTGTCGTCAGATATTACGTGTATTCAGAGAAAGAACAGGAACCGAGTGAGCGGGAGGGGATATTGGGACTGCGCGGAGGCAGATAGGGATCTCATCGAGTGCATGGAGGGGAACTGGGTGCAATCGGAGTTGGGTGCGTGCTGCATGATGGGGCGATGAGAGCCCCTTGGATATAGAGAGAGGCAGGACCGGATCAGCGGACGAGGGGAGGAGACGCTAAAGTGGATGGGGCGGAGGACGCTGGAAGGGAGGAGTGGCCCGGGCGTGCACGCCAGGCGCAGCAGCGGGCGGGGGCAGAGAGGCGCTGGCGGAAAGAGCCGTGCGGAGAGTCGGAGAGGGGCAATTAGGCGCCGATCGCCATAGGCAGACTTGAATGGGGAGGCGACTCCTTGAATTCCGACCGATGGCTTGCTGACATCCGCAACGCGGCCCCCATCCCCCTCCTCTCCCCCTCGGTCTCTGCGCCTCTCTGCACGACGACGAAAGCTGCATGACCCCGGATAATGCCCCCGGCCCCAGTCGCTTGCCTCCTCGCCCGCCTCCCCCTCCCGCACCGACGGAGGATGGCTGCAGCAACAGTCTAGCAGACGTGGACGCGTCCCCGCCCGCGGAGGAGCTGCTGAACCCCGCGGACGGCGGCGCAAGTCCCGACCGCCTGGAGGCGTGTTGTCGACGAGGTAAGCCTCCGCTGTGAATGGACCGCCTGTTCTGACGCCGGCCGCAACAGATCGAGCGGAGGCGCGATCCCCCCAGAGTCCCATTGGCCATCGATCGTCTGCCTCTCCCCCGCCCAGCCGCCGTGAATCCCTGTCAGTCGTACGCCCCCTTCCTCCCCCAGAGTCCGCCCACCATGCTCCTCCTCCTCGCTGTCCTCCCCCATCTCCCCTTCCTACTTCTGGCCCCGCTGCTATCCCTCTTTCTCCCCCGGGCACCACAACCCCCTCTAGACCGATCCCTCTATCCGGCCTAGATCCTGACCACTCGACGTCTCAACAGTCTCGACCTCCTCGCGCTCACGACGAGTCCAACATGTCCTTGCTCCATCAATTGCCCCTTCTCCTCCACTGTCCACTCTGCAAACCCTCCCGCATCCTTGTTTCCCCCATCACACTCCGCTGTGGACACACCATCTGCGCCGAACACGTCCTCCCACCGTCGCTCTCATCCTCCAGCCTCCCTTCGTCTTCCCATACTCGTTTCTCCCCCGCACCCGCATCCGCACCCGCACCCGCACCCGCAACCGCAACCACTTCCTCCGACTTGCGCCCGCTATCTGTTTCGCGATGTCCTATTCCCACCTGTAATTCTGCTCCCCCCGTATCTGCCTTCACATCCGCCGTACTCCACCCCGCATCCACTGTCACATATCTCCCTGCTCCTGCCACCCCATCCTCCGGTTCCCAGACGGGCACCCCTCTCCCATCGCCTACATGCGTCGATGTGACGGCAAATAAAATCATCACTCTCGTCCAAGACGCACAGGCATGGTTCACCAACGACCGTGATCGCGAGCACGCCCGCGTCCCCGCGTACGCCGCGGAGTCGGACGAGGAGACCGACTCCGAGACCGACGGCGATGTGGACGGCGTTCCTGCGCCCTCCGCCGAAGACCTCACGGAAGGTCTCTATCTCGATTCGGGTGCGGTCACGGCTCCAGATTCCGGCAACATCGACGCCTCACTTAGCCATAATCGCTACTCTACTAATCCAGCCTCTCCGAACACACGCCAGCGTCAGCGCTCTCCCTCACCGCATCCGCGCCCGCGCAAACGCCGCCGACGCCTGCATCCTCGCCCACGTTCTCGCCGTGATCCTCCTGCCATCGTGCGCGAGAATGAGCGTCGAGACCCACAGTCGCGCTTTGAGAAAGAACTACGAACAGAGTTGACTTGCGAGATTTGCTTTGGACTGCTTTTACAGCCAACAACAACACCGTGCCAGCATGTGAGTTCTCATCATCAGTCTCTTCCGTAATTTTTTTAAAATACATACCACGCCGGCCCTGATCATTTCTGGCGCATATACTAACGTTTTCAATTATAGACGTTTTGTGCAACATGTCTACACCGCGCCCTCGATCATAATGCTACATGCCCGCTATGTCGACAGGAACTCCCAGATTATGCCTATTTTCAGGAACATCCGTGTAACAAAGTCGTACTGGCAATTCGTAAGTCCGCTTTAATTGATCTCACGCTTTCTCTCTTTGGGGGGGACTAGCGTAGCGGTGTTTTAATTGTCGATATGCGCTTCGACGCCGTCGTCACGTTGTATTCTTTTTGACTAATTTTGAATTTACTAACCGCATATTCGCTCTCTGTAATGCAGTGATAAAGGCGTTTCCGGAGATTTACGAGGAGCGACGGGCTGCGCTTGAAGCTGAAGAGCGCGATGCGCGGCTCGATACCCCAGTATTTGTGTGCCAGTTGAGTTTCCCAGGTATGCCGACGATGCTCCATTTCTTCGAACCAAGGTCAGCCCGGTTCTATTGTTTATAATATCCTGCGAGTGCTCATGATCCGGTTTGAATCATTTTATCTGTTAATGCGCGAACACCTTATCCCCCCACGTTTCGACTAATCGATCATATCCGCCTTAGATATCGCTTAATGCTTCGGCGGTGCCTCGCCTCCCCTAATCCTTGCTTTGGAATGGTTCCTCCGCCGCGTTCGGTGTCAGGAGAGGCAGGTAGTGAATACGGCACGATGCTCAAAATTCGGAACGTTCAAATGTTGCCTGACGGGCGCAGCGTCGTCGAGACCTGGGGTATTTGGAGATTCCGCATCATAGAACGGGGAACCCTCGATGGTTATGTCGTCGCTCGGGTCGAGCGGGTGGACGACTGGACAGAAGGCGAAGATAGCGAAGAGGAGCAGCACTCCAGCGCCCCAGTGGGTGTGACGCTGGCTGCAAGGACACGGGACGCAGGTACGAGCTCAGGGTCGTTAGCGACAGATCCAGGGCCTTCAACCTCCGCTTCCGCGTCAGCGTCTTCGTTAGCGATGGCACCACTCGTATCACGTCGCTCCCCAACGACGCCGACGAACGCCGAACTGATGGCGACTTGTAATGCATTTTTGGAGGAGCTGCGGCAAGGAACACCGTGGGTTGCACAGAGGCTGAACACTATGTATATTCCCATGCCGCGGGACGCGGAGACATTCAGCTTTTGGATGGGCGCGGTGAGTGTTCCCGCCATAAGATATCTCGAGGTCCACCTGATGGACGTTTCCCCATACTTGGAATTGATTTTACATAGCTGCTCCCGATTGACGAGTACGAGAAGGCCAAGCTACTCCCCATTCGTTCCGCGCGTTTGCGACTGCGTCTGGTCGTCCATTGGATAGAACAACTGCAGAATCAATGGTGAGTCGTGCGGTTATGCGGTCACATACTTGCTCGCTCGCTTCGCGCGCCGTGATCTGTCTGGCCTCGCCACCACTTCACCTTTGTCCTCCGATCTCTCTTCCTTTCGAGGCCGATTTTGACCGCTGTTTCCCTGTTTAAGGGCCCTTTCTTACGCGTCTGCGTCCCACATGCAGGTGGTTTACTGGTGGCTGCGTCGTTTGTTGATCCATCTGATCTTCTCGCGCACGTCTCCGTATGCGTTCGCTGTCGCCCTTTTCGCTATCTTCGTCGCTCAGGCCCTCCTTGGTCCCTTCACATAGTGACCACCTGGCTGTGAGTCTCGGAGTCGTCCGGAATTGTTCGCGGTGAGAGTTGCTGGCCGTGAGGAAGTTTTGTTTGCATGTGGATTTAGAAACGTAGCTACGCATTACTATATTTACTACTGTTCATTTGACCGCCAGCACTGCAAGTCTTTTCTATCTGTCTATTCATCATGTTCCCGGGTGCATTGGACGGCATGTCTGCCTATTGAATCGCCGTTCACACATCATGCTGTACAAGTATTCTGGGATTCCTGTGTCAGTCGGCTTCTCTCATTGGGTGTACGAGTATTTAGGGTAACATCCTTCCACATATATTATTAATTGAAGAGTGTATAATATTTGGGGACTTTGGTAGTGCCAGTTTCGCCGCTTGTTGTATTACCATCATTCAAAGGGTCTAAACCTAGGGGGATCAGCTTATGAGTCATAGGTGTGCGCTGATCGCGAGTACTCACTTGAACGACACATGTCACTCTGTACATTCTCGGATCCGGAGACGTCCGAAACAACTTGGAAGCTCGGGCTGCCATCATAGTCTAGACTCAGGTGAATACCAGTATTCTGTGTAGTACTTACAGCTTTGCAGGTCACCGCCAAGTTAGCTTCTAATGCTGCAACTAGAACAAGGATGCGCACTTCTAGCGAATTTGGCCACATCTCATGTCGTTTGGCAAGATGAAGTTACTTACCGGTATACCGGTATGGAACTATCGACTTGTCGCACCCTAAGACGCATATTTTTGCTGAGCGATCCATCTCGGTCGTAGAGTCCGGGACTCCTTCAGTAGATAGTTCGACCATCTTCAAATCCCATCGCCTGATTGAGGGATAACCTTGTTACTAGCAGGACCCGCACTGTTGCCATCCCCAGCCAGCGCACATGCGCATCTGGCCGCCGTATATCCTTGTCACGGCTTTGACGCAAGCTGTTCCAATCCTACTCTCCGATACAAACTGATCAAGAATACCCCCGGCTGTGGTCCAACAACGTCGTCGTCGTCGCGTTTGACAAAATATGTGGACCCTTGGTGGCTCATCTGAGATTCAGAACACCAGCCTGGTCTTGACGCCCTGGAGGCTGTGGACCTCCCTCATGGAGCACCTGAAGACAACTGGCCGCATTGGCGACTTTCAGGACATTGTTCACGGCCACACCGCTGGTATTTTGGATCTTTCACGCTTACTAGGCCGTATCCAATTCTGTTCGATTCCGCCTGACATGCCGGGCGGCGTGCCTCGCTGTCTTTTATGGAGCACATTCCTTCTGCAACTCTCGACGGTGTGTTGTCCATCTCTGTGAATAGGACCATTGGCGACGGATTTGACGGCTTCGAAACGGGTCTTCAGCCGGTCTACGGAGGTGGCTTTAAATTTGGTCCAACGTGTCCTGGCTGCTATGTACAGCCAGACATCGACGATAAATTTTACCGGCCGGGGCGCGACTGTACGGTCCACCCCTCGGATTCCGGTTCTCACGATATCACGCTCACCTTGAATGGCAAGCCTCTTGTCGCTACTTCCGCGAAGATGCTCAGTTCAGCGATAGGCACTGCCGTATGAATATACGGCATTGTCGCCAACATCAGCCCAAAACGCGCGACTATCTTGACGAAGGTTATCAATAACTTTGACGGCGAAACAGTCGGCTTGCATACTCTATTCCACTGAAAAACGCTAGCCAGATTTTGTACAACGTCACGATGTACGACAACGCGACCCCGGAGAATAAGCCGCACACGGCTCTCCTAACCCCTCAGCGAGAAACACCCATCCCCCCTCCTCTTCAACTAGGCGCAATATACATAAGCGGTCCACTTTGCATTATGCTACGGGATGGAAAGAGTATAAGACACGAGTTGATGGAATCGTTGCTAGGTTCGAAATAACGGACGATAAACCGCAGCCTGCTACAAGCTTAACCAGCACCGCATTTTCATCGCATATCCCAATCACTGGGCGACCGTCTACTACGTCGATCAGCACATTTCCAGAAGGGCACTATCCATGATAACGCCCCAAACCATGCTCGTCACAGAGCCAACCTCTATACGAAGGGTGTCACGGCTGCTGCCATCGGAGGCACCATAGGCGGCGCTATGCTGGTGGCTCTGGCTGCCATTGTCTGTGTGTACCAGACTCGCAAACGCAAACGCAAACGCAAACGCAAACGCAAAGCATCAAACATCGAGGCTCTTTCTGAATTCAACTCAACTAGTCTCATAAGCCCAACCCCACGCCCCGGCGCGCCAGGCAGTTAAGGGTCCATCATAGGTCGTTTGGATACGTCCTCAGATAGCTTTGCAAATGTGGAGGCATCAGTTATAGCCGTTGTCGATTTTGGCGTCAGTAATCGCAATGGCACCGTCACTGTTGCCGCGCCCGACCACTGTGGGGCACGGATGCGGATTCGCGGACTCAACTTGTGACACTAAAGTGGAGTGTGGAGACTCAAGGCTTTGGTATGGACTAGCTTGTACCCACTTGCATACCATCGCGAAGTGTGACTGGGGCTGCCGCTCATCATCTAAGACTGTAGCCTTGCGCAAGTTGTCTGAGTTTAGGGTTCGTCGTTGGCTTTACAATATCCTCGTCTGCCTGTGAGCGTTGCTGTCGCATCGGATGCCCTAAGTAATTATCGGCAGTAAAATATAGTATGGAGTATGGCTGGGTTCATTGTACTGATACACAGCAGTGCCTAAGCTTCATTCCGTTAGGTATTGTCCTGTTTAATATGGGTACATGTCAGAATACACAGCATTGATGGCAGTAACAATAAATGAATGGCAACATGTAAAAAGATATCGTAGATAGTCAGTGAGCCTGCGACTTCACCGTTGCAAAGAACACCGATCTAGTGGACCACTTCATCCGGCTGTGCAAGATAATACTCTTGTACAAATCGACCCCATTTTTCGATGACAGGCATAACAACCTTCTCCCATTCCTTGTCTTGAAAGGGGCCACACTCGGCCTTGGCAAACGAAAAAATCTCTCTGTGCACTCTGCCACCTGTCATAAGAATTGTTAACCATACCTTTTACAGGGAAATCAAAGATGGAAAGGACAACGTACAATCCGGACACTGCTCCTTCGCCCGTGGTTTCATAGCCTGTAGCGCTGGCATCACGTCGGGAAACTGCGATTGCAGATACTGTTCGTTAGACACTAGGTCTGCAAGCTCCAAATGTATAAGCCGTTCTAGACGGTGACAATATGGTCCGGGTTCGCCAGGGTCGACACATCCTTTCATGATGGTCTTCTCGCCGTCCTGAATAGACCCTGGCCACCAGCCGCGTAAGTACTGCTGCTTCGAGCCACATTGCCTGTCCCATTGGTTCGTACGCTGATTCAAGCTGTAGCTGCGTCCTACTTTGTAGTGGACGCGATCTCTGTCGCCAGGGACTAGTATCGTCGACAGCTTTATCAAACATATGAGATAGCGACTTTGTATATTTGTACGAACCTCGGTATTCTAATGCGTAGATATATCCCGGCTCATCAGCCACAGAAAGTGGCTTCTGCATTTCCCTGAGTATATTGGCTTGCGTCTGGGGGTGCAAGTAATTTGGTATCCAGTCTGGTTTATACCTTGAGCGCAAGTCATCACACAACACTGGTGCAAAATTACCGTCGCGGTGAACCCCTCTGCCACTGGGAAGGATAAACTTGGGGTCCTTGAGCACTTCCTTCTTATGAATGTGACAATATCGTTCTAGTCCCATATGATCTCCCGGATTTAGACTCTCAAGAGGTGAGCATTCCGCAACGACGTTCTTGCAGCGCTTGCCAGCTCGTGTGAAGCCGTTGCATTGAGAACGTCTTTGAGGTGACCCAGGAGCCGAAAGCGTAGGAGAGGGTGGAGAAGAAGCCGAGCGTGCGCGGCTAGACCGTGCTGTTGACTCTGGCGTAGCACGCGAAGTGGATGTCTTAGGTGGTGCGGAGGCAGGAAGATGGGCAGGTAGGGGACGACTACGCACAGGTGTGGACGGAGCCGGAGGCGGCGTAGCAGGAAGTGTTTGCTTGAAGATAGGCTTAGAGGGAGGGCTAGGAATAGGTGTCTGTTGGGCCTTTGGTGGCATTCGCCTATGGTCTGGCGGCGATAGCGCGTGTTGCATGGTCCTAGACAGCCGTTGTGAACTCCCGCCTTGTGAGATGGATTCATACATCGGACGAGGTGGGGTCGGCAATGGCCCGGGCGACGCATAATGGACGGGAGTAGGGAAATTGAGAGGCGTGGTTTGGTTGCGTGCACCTGGTCGCGCCGCCGACGAGGTCAAGCCGTTGGTAGGGATGACTGGGTTGAAGCCTCCGACGAATCGAGGTTCTGAGTCGTCCAGAGTCATGTCAGTGAGCCTCCACATGAGCTCTTCCTCCGCATCCTCGAGTTGCGTCACCTTGGACATTGGATAGGGAGGAGAGCTGGACTTGTGTCGCTTGAAGAAGGGTAGGCAAATCATCTCCAAGTTGTTTCGCGGCACAAATACCCCGGAGACACGCCTACGATGAATGATGGAGCCAAGAAAATCATGCGGACAATGGCAACGACCTTTGTATACTGGCTGATTCGGGCGAGCGGTCGCAGCCGATATGAGCTTCTGTCGCCAGCAGTGCTGTTGACTCAACCACTGCCCCTGCACAGCAGGACCTGCCTTGAAGGGAAACGTGAGATACAGACGCACTGCGCGCAGAGCCTCGTGCGGGGCAGATGTCGCAGACGCGTGGGGTCGAATTGTCGAGCAGATAAAGCCTGTGCGTGTGCGGTGCCTCCCGCGCCACATGTCCGGCGCGTCTCCTGCACGTGCAGTGTATCCCAGTCTGAAACCTGAGCTGGGGTCCCTTCCCATCTATAGACTTGCTTTATATTTTATGTGCAATCGCAATGTCAAAGCACATCCGCGACTTTTTCGACCCAGATTCGAGTCGCAATGACCCTTTGCTCAAAGCGCGACGCGACAGACGCGACAGTCACGTGCGTCGCGATTCGATCGACGACACGCCTGGTCACATGATTCCAAGCATAGCTCCTGCGGATCTTGGGCCCGGCGACTCCTTCAGTCGACTAGCTCAGTGGAACCTGACCTTACGCTCAGTGACTGGCACTCTAATTTTTGGCTGCCTTGTAGCCCATTTCTCCAGTATGCTCCCTTGTCATAATCTCATGGATCGTGGAACGAGTTTAATCTTATATCCGTAGCTCAACTAATACTACGACTAGCAGCTTTAACCGGAACTTGACACTCGACCCTGAGCTAGGCGATCATGAGCAATCTAGAGAGTGAGCTATCCACTTGAGCTCGCCTAACGACGCTCTAATCCCGTGATAGAGACACTGTTCCAGCTCAAAGTATGTGCTTTGAATCAGTACGTCCGATGGATACTTACCGGTCGTCTTCTACAGTTCACAGCGAAGACTCTCAGTCGACAAGCCAAAAAGGCGCAGAAGGACGAGAACGTCGAGAAAAGTCGCCTCAAGAAAGTCAGTGAGGTTCATGATCTTGGCTAATATCACACTCCGAACCTGTTTCGCAGGCGCTCCAGCAAGGCAATAACGACGGTGCTCGCATTTACGCTGCAAATGCTATTCGCAAGAAGACCGAAGCACTCAATCTGCTCAGGCTATCTAGTCGCGTGGATGCTGTTGCCAGTCGGGTAGAAACTGCGGTCACCATACGCCAAGTTACGGGCAATATGACCTCGGTCGTGAAAGGCATGGATAAGGCTATGGAGAGCATGAACCTCGAGCGTGTACGCTCCCCTGCCGTACTGACGTACAACCTCTTGTTAACGTTGTCGCCTCCAGATCTCGTTGGTGATGGACAAATTCGAGTCGCAATTCTCCGATCTCGACGTACAAACTTCTTACATGGAAGAGACTATGTCTAATACCACCGCTGTCTCTACACCACAAGACGAGGTTGAGGCGTTGATGAAACGGACTGCAGAAGAAGCCAATATCGAGCTCCAACACGATCTTGCTAGCAAAGATCTCGCCATGGTGCCCGATCTCAAAGAGAAGGAACCGGTTCGGGAAGAGGATGACTTATTGGCTGCCAGGCTTAGAGCGCTACGGCCTGCCACATAATGAGCTGCAATTAGGAATATCGCATGTCTTGATAAGGTTGTGTACTATTAGAGTATCTTCTAGTGTCGTGTATTCATGTATAGTACCCATATTGGATATTTGTCGAATCTATCGCTCATGACTGTATTTGGAGAATCCCACGATCGGAGGTTTGACAATGATTATATCAAAATGGCAATCCGCTATTACAGTCAGTGTAGGGATGGATGTTGCGAAGCATGGGAAAAAATCATGGTACGATATCCGTGAGTATCCACAGGGTTGTAAAAATGGCAGATGAATGAATGAGTGTGACAACAGATACTTGAATAAAGTACAGCGTGTGATATCATGCGAAGACGTCTGGTATCGCCAGAGCAGCGTGAAGGATCTTGATAGTACGTGAACGTTGCAAACTTGTACGATGTATGCGTATGAGATATAAAGGGAACAATGTTTTAAAGGAATGGATGACAATGCGTTGTTAACGGTTCTCCCGTACAACATGAATGAATGTGTCCAATAATGCCCGCTTCCGACGCGAGTCTGATTCGAGCCCTGGAGCAGAGTCAAGTAGTCGTTGTACGTGATGAATGAGTCCGTGAGGTCCGTCCAGCGGTATGGCGTGTGCATCGTATCGGTGAACATCTGGAAACACTCTGTAAGCTTTGAAATTTTGGGTAGAATAAACCAATACGCACAAGTCTTGAAAGTCGCATATGCTGCATCCCCGAGCACTTCTCGAAAGGCCTCGGCCACATCTGATGCAACACCAAGTTTGCTATCCTCATCTGCGAGGGGTCCCCTCCATCTCGATCGAGTCCTCGAGGAACTTGTAGCACTGGCCTTAGCTCCTCCAACTGTGCGTAGCATCGCCCCTTCTCGCATCTTCGACGGTGCCCACGATAATCCTATGCCCAGTTCCAACGAGCGGCCTTTACCTGCGAGTCTCGCTTGTTTGGAACCCGATAGTGGTGATGGGCTAGATGAGCCGCCGCTAGCGATGGACCGCTTGCGCTCATCGCTAGCTGGAGATCCAGGTATAGGGGGGACCGCTGGCTCAAATTTGAACGCTGGATGTGCTGGACGTCCCATGCGCTTACCGGCGCTCCTGCCCCAGCTCGAAGTTAAACCTGACGAGTTTCCCGAATGCGTAGACGATATAGGAGACCCAGGATCAGTCTCCGAACCATTTGGTAGCTTTGTGAGGGGGGCCCGTAAATGAAGCGTAGGCTGTGTTCGAGGATGGTTAGACGTCGCGCTGGAGCTCCCCGTTGTGCGACGAGCTAGCGAAACCTTGTCGGGATTCGCGTCTAGCACAGGCTTTGTCCGTTCTTGTATAGTAATCGGAACGGAGGCGACACGACGTGACTCCGAATCCTCCGAGCCTTCTAGGACGTGTACTCGACGATTGGCGGAACCTCGCGCACTATAACTTCTTTGCAGCCCAGATTCCCCCGTCGACGTCCCGACTTCAACGCCGTTCAGATTTCTGATAGGTTTGAAACTGGTTTGACCCGAGGCACCAGCAGACACCGGCCGCTCAAAATCGAAGCTACCATGCTTCGTCCTCTTTCCCTGTGGAATCAAGGGAGTAGGCATCCCGCTATGTGGCGTAGCATTTCGTCCGTGGCTATGATGGTTAGCCCCGCTTCCGCTTGCGACTTTCTCCATAGGGCTTGCCGCGATCAGAGTCCTAGAATCGCGCCCTTGTTCCCTAATTATCGGGGAACCAACCCGTCGAGAGTTTGCGCTCCGCTCCTGATTAGTCTGTCTTTCCTTTGCTTTCGTATTGAGCGCATTTCCCCTGTCTTCCGATTTATTCCTCGTCCCTCGTATGTATCCTCTCTCTTTGCCTTTTGCAAGGGATGTAGCAGAAATATGTGATGGTCCCAACCCGCATAGAGGCGAACATCTTCCGCCCAGTGCACTGATCTCGGCATCGGGATCTGTCTCGAAGTTTGCATACTCGCCATGCGTATTGTGGTCCTTCATAACATGGACGGGGAGTGGACGAGAATGCGAAGTGGCGACATTCGGTAGCTTTGGTCTACTATTTTCCCAGAGTATGTCCCCTTTGATGACATGTTTCGAGCCATCCTGAGATTTATGAACAGTTGGGCCGGAATTAGAACGAAATCGACCGCCCCAGAGCCCACGTTCTCCATCCTTCTCACTCGGCTGCGAGCCTGGGGTAGGTGGCCGAGACTTGGGCTTCTTTGACTCACCAAAGGACGCTTTGCGCGGACTGGTAATAGAAAGGCCAAAGATATTCATCTTCCTGCCCTTCTTCGAAGAGTCTGCAACAGGCTGCTCCAAAATGACGACTTCGGTACGAATGTCAAGAGGGCATGCAGGTGCAGCTGGCCTGGGAGGTGACGAGGGGCGCAATTTGTGCGGCTTCCTGGGCAACGGCCTTGCAGTGGAATTAGAAGCCGCAGCTGACGAAGACAAGGGACGCGAAGGTACTCTTGCTGAACGGGAATACGAACGGGAGGTTGCCTGGATGTCCTGAACGTCGGCTTCCAAACTGGAACGACGTGCATACATAGCAACAGAAGCACTGTCCGACGGCATTGGAACATGACCCACAGCTGCATCAAGAGAACGCGAACGCCTCTTTTTTGAACGCGAGCGCGAACGGCTCAAAAACTCTACAATCTTGGAACGTGAGCAAAGACCACATCAAGAGTTTAGTCAGAGTCTGTAGTCCAGGATGAGACCCTCAGTGGAGGCATACCTTCCTCCCCAGTCCTCTACCATGTCTCTCATCTGTATGAGGCTCCATTGGCTCTGTGTCTAAATCAGCAAATTGCACGTTCTGGTTTGTTGTATACTCCGGGTAAACAAAGCTTGTATCCTCACGGTCTTCGAACTACGCCAACCCCATATTGAGAAACCTGTCAGAACGCTTAGCCCACCCGAGACAAAGGACAGTCACCTGAACCGAAGAGAGACTGTCGATGCGTTGTAGTTTGTTGGTGGAGCAGATGAGGGCGCGAAACTGCAACAATGCGAGATGGGAGAGAACGGCAACACGTGTTAGGCACGTCCTATGCTGGTTATGAGAGCCCGGGGGAAGGCGTGCCAATGAACTCACATCTTGGGACAACCTCACACGGGCAGCGTCAATCAAACCTAGACTTCTACTTCTCTCATGCTTCTTGGTCCGTGCGGAAGAGCGAGCAAGGAGCGAGCTGGAATCGAGGAGCGAGGCCGAGGGCGTGGGCGGGGCCAGAAACTCGGGCGACTGTATATCTGATAGCTGATCTGTGAGCAAAACCATGTAATATGGATCTGAGTATTGACATGAGATGGTGGAGCCGGATATGAGAGTCGACTTGAAGTTGTCGAGAGGGGAGTAGATTGGAATCCAAAGCTATAGGCCTCGGTGTCACCTCGTGTAAGCTGACGAACTCGATCGTGAGTGATGGCGCCGTGAGAAACCGATCTGCCTCCTCCTTCACTTGAAGCTGCGCAACTGGCCACCGGAGACTGATGGCAAATCTCTCGTCCAGGGCATGCACACATGTTTCCGTCCAGGCCCGAGTTTAATACAAAGACGTCCTCACGAAATGAAACATCAAGTTCATCCACATCGTACATCTATCACTTCAGGTGCGAACTTTCCTCCCTGCTTACTTGCACCTATCGCCTGGCATATCAATGGTCCCGAAGCGTCGATGCTCTATCACTTTGTCTGGCATTCTGGCACGGACATACTTTCATTTGACACCAGCGTGCTCGCAATGTGGAGCAGGCGCGGCACTAGACAGCGGTTGCTTGCGTCTCAGCTGGGCCTGTGATCGCCTCTGCTCAAAGGCACTTCAATGGAGGTGCCTCGCGGTGAAACGGACTTTTCGTCTCTGTATAAGCGTACAGGCACAACGGATACTGTACAAATTGCGACCTCGTGCCGCTCATCGGTCCAATTTACATCATACTACACGCACGCACGCTTGTGCCAGTGATCCCCGAACGGATGTCCACATGAGCTGTGTCGTTTCCAGGGGATGCAGGCCACTTGTAATGTGACGCAAGCCTATTCAGAAGCATTAAATGGTATTACGAATATCGATGGTCGAGAGAAGATTTGATCATTTTGAGACGGATATTGTGAACTCTGCGCCACTTTGGCCTCACCATCAAACGCGACCTCCTAAGCCGCGCGTCGGCCGCGTCGGGGGCACGTGAAAGGGGGCGGGAGTCACCTGATCGTGTAGATGCCATTCTGTCGCCATCGCCCGCGATTGCGTTCGCCCACTCACTCTTGACGGTTTCGTAAGACAATTCCCAAATTATGCAACGCCTCCGCGTCTTCGGCTCGCTCCCCTCAAAACCTGCAGGCTGCCCCTCGGATGCTTTCGCCTCTTCCGTTCCCTGCTTCCAGCCATTATTTCCACAACATTCTCACCGCCTAGGCGCGCCACCGTGTCCACTTAACTCACTTGTACCCACAGTAGACGTGCCGCACATCGATCCCCTGCAACCGGTGGTACACTTACGCACAACTCGCGCGTCGCCATGCAAGCAGCGAAAACCAGCACTAGGCGTCTGAAGTTATCTGGTAACGCTCTGCGCAACCGCTCATCTCGTCGACCGACCACTGTCCAGGCGTCCACTTCACAGGCACGCGATCGACCCCACTTTCCATGCGTGGAGGCTCATGCCGTCCGTGAATCTCGTATTCGCTCGTCGCGTTCGTCCATCTCGTCTTCAACGACGACCTCCTCACATGCAGGGCCAGAGCCAGCGTATGCTAGACCAAGCCCAACGTCCTACAAAACCTATCACCATGACCAGCCTCTCCCGCTCTCTTATTCCGAGCCTCTTCCCTCTGTTGATATCGCTTACGAGACTTGGGGGACACTCTCACCTGCGAAGGACAACGTAATTCTCCTCCATACTGGCCTATCTGCTTCCTCTCATGCCGCATCCACCGACTTGAATCCCACAGAGGGCTGGTGGGAAAACTTCATCGGACCAGGACGTGCTCTTGATACCAATCAATTCTTCATAATTTGCACCAATGTCTTGGGTGGTTGTTATGGTACCACTGGTCCCTCCTCTATAGATTCAACCACTGGGCAGCCGTACGCTACACGATTCCCAGTAATTTCTATATTCGATATGGTGCGAGCGCAATTCGCGCTGTTGGATCATCTTGGCATTGAAAAGCTCTACGCGAGTGTGGGCTCATCAATGGGGGCTATGCAAAGTCTGGCTGCAGGATGGCTATACCCTGAACGTGTAGGCAAGGTGGTCAGTATCAGCGGCACCGCCAGAAGTAGTCCCAGTGCAATTGCCATGAGATTCGCTCAACGAAGTGGTAAGTCCTATTTTCGCTGTTGAGCTTTCAACTCCGACCAGTATTAACGGCCTTCAAGTTTTGATGGCCGATCCCAATTGGAATAATGGCTTCTACTACGATGGTCTACCACCACACACAGGTATGAAATTGGCCCGACGTGAGAATCATTATATTATCATGCTGTATACCCCATTTGCTCATATGTGATAATGAAGAGATTGCCACGATTACATACCGGTCAGGCCCTGAGTGGGATCAGAGATTTGGCCGCAAGCTCCGGCGGCTTTCGAAATCGACTGAAGAAGGCGATTCAAACAGCCATCTTCCGCGAGTCCCCGCCCTGTGTCCTGACTTCTTGATCGAGACATACCTCGATTATCAGGCGAGTTTCTCTTATCCCCGGCTAGCCGTAATTTGACGCTTATGATGGTTCTCTCAGGGCGAATCATTTTGTCTCAAGTACGATGCAAACTCTCTCATTTACATCTCCAAAGCCATGGACGTATTCGACCTGACCAGACCAGGTATCGACGAGCTACGACTTACGCCTCCCCAGCCTCGTACTTCACCTCCTCCATTGCCGCCCTCTATGTCGTCACATCCCTCGTCTCCTACACATTCGCATTATCACTGGCTATTATCTCATTCCAAGTCACATCCTCCCCCGCCTAATCCACCTGCGCATCTCCATGAGCTTGCGGAAGGTCTTAGACCTCTATCGAACACGCCTGTACTTGTGTTGGGAGTGCAAAGCGACATACTATTCCCGGTGGAACAACAGCGCGAAGTTGCTGATGCGCTCCGGATGACGGGTAACCAAATGGTGAGCTACTATGAGCTTGGAGGGGTGTGGGGGCACGATACATTCCTGTAAGTGTGTTATTTCCTGTCGAGGGCACTGTGCTTACATCGATTGTGATTGCGCCATAGGCTCGATGTACAGAACGTGGGCGGTGCAATTCGCGGATTCTTGGCGTAAGCTACTTTATCTTGTTTCGGGGAATGGTTGGAAAGTTGCTCGTGGGGCACCTATGACGTTGACGAATCTGCATAACATGACACCCAGCATTATAAGCACATGTAGCACTGGCATTTCATTGTTCACTATCATGACACTGCAAGCGACATTAAGTCTTAGTTTAGAATCCAACATAATTCATCTTTCGACCACAGCTATATAATATAGCTGTGGCCCATATTCACTAAATGCTTAAAGAACTGACTCCATAGTGTTGCCTTCACACTGGGAAGTACAAACTTATGCAGAATTTGATTGCCCACCCTTGGCAGGTACCACTCGATGCTGAGGCCTTGAGGCCTAGGCGCGCGCTTCTTATTCAATGAATCTATAGCCTGTTTGCACGTGAGAGCTCCTGGTGTAACTTATAGGTTAGACTAGCCCAGCTGAAGTTTAGAAGCGTAGAACAACTTGTCAGGGATTCACTACTGCCATTCCTTGTGGCCTCAGCTCGGCTTCATCTCTTAACTAAGATCAGCAACGTACGTGTGAGACGACGTGCTCATGAGGAAACCCGTTCGCGTGTCACGCGTGGTATGTCTTTCATTGACTGAGGTCTGCTCCCGGACTGTTGACTTCGTTGAATAAGGTGCAGAGGCTGCACCGCTCACGCTACGGGCCCTTTGCACTTCATACTCTTTCAGAAGGCCTTAATCCCAGTGCTGCAGATCGTGAGGAGTACGCAGGACGAGCCGCTTTGGGTGTAACGTTGTTCTGACAGCGAATGGTTAGGCATGTTATAACAAATCCGGCTACAGGCGCGGATATTTGCACGTACGCGTCCTGGTTTTATAATGAGCAGTAGGTGTACTCACCCTGATCAGTGTGGTCATGGCGAATCGAGAGGACGTTCAAACGGCCATATTCCATGCTCACGAAGTGTTCAAGTCGGGAGTGTGGTCTAAAATCCCCGCTATCCATCGCGCAGCGGTGATGTCGAATCTAGCAAGGGAACTGCAGGAAAGCATTAAACACTTCGCTAAACTCGAGTCTCTACAAACCGGTCGGACCATCCGTGAAATGACCGCTCAGCTGGAACGTCTCCCTGAATGGCTGTGAGTGACCTTATCCGCCTCCACAGGGATTACGCCGAGACCCACTCTCAGTGACTATTATGCAGCCCTCCTTCGCACGCACCAGGACTTCATTGCTCCCACGCAGGGTAAACTACTAAACTATGTGCAGCGAGTCCCTCTTGGAGTGGTTGCTCAAATTACAGTGAGCTTTACATGGTTCATGACGTTTGTCATCAATGCTGATAGTCGAGACGTAGCCGTTCAACCACCCACTTCTGATTGCGATCAAGAAGATTGCACCCGCCCTCGCTGCAGGAAATTCAATTGTTGTCAAGCCCAGTGAGCTCGCCCCTATCTCTGTTATAGAGTTTGCAGAAATGGCTGCTGCCGCTGGAGGTGTGTGTATGCGAATCTACAAGGGCCGTGAAGCGAACTCAAGTACTCGAAATAGTTCCCCCTGGTGTTTTGACAGTTCTGCCAGGATATGGAAGGAAGATTGGCACTGAATTAGTTTCGAATCCACTGGTCAGGAAAGTCGATATAACTGTACGCGCGAATCCTACCTGTTCATATAATGTTGCGATCTCAATTTGTCGTTTCAGGCGGGTACCCAGACAGGTCGTGCATTGGGGAGTATGGTCGGCGCAAATCTCGCATCATTTACTGCCGAGCTGGGCGGAAAGGCGAGTGCCGTCGACCTCTCAACCTCTTTTTGGCCTATTCAATTTGATCATTAGGCACCTATCATCGTATTTAACGATGCAGATATTCAGTCCGCTGCTAATGGCGCTGCATTTGCTTGCTTTGTGGCTTCTGGTCAGACTTGTGTCTCCGGAACACGTCTATTGGTGCAGGATGAAATCTATGACAGTTTCATGGAACACTTCATGGAGAAGGTTCGCAGTGTCACATTGCGCATGGGGGATCGTATGTTTGCATCTATAACTGTGAATGTCATGTGATGACGTTTGGTTTTTCAAGCTTTGAACCCGGCATCAACCATGGGGACAATTATTAGCCATCGCCAGTTGGAGCGAATCGAGAAGCTTGTGCAAAGAAAGCATGGCGGGAAGACCCTTATCGGTGGCCGACGCATGTCTGGTGTTTCGCCTCTAGATGGGTTTGATTATTCTGCGGGATGCTTCTTCCCTCCCACCGTCCTCACGGATATCTCAACTGAAGACGACTTGTGGAGGGAGGAGGTGTTTGGACCGGTTGTTGTGGTGAAGCGATTCTCTGTACGTTCACAATCATCCATTTAAGACCCGCAGACTCTGGCTGACTATCTATCGTCCTGGTAAAGGATGAAGAGGAGGGGGTTGATCTCGCAAATGCATGCAAGTACGGCCTCGGTGCTGGGATCTGGACGTCGGATGTATCCAGGGCCCATCGGGTGGCCTCTCAGGTTGAAGCAGGGCTTGTCTGGGTCAACACCCATCACCGCAATGATCCTAGCTCACCCTGGTAGGCTCAGATTCTTCTTTTAGCACCTTTCCAATCTCTAATTTATGTTCTGTAGGGGCGGGATGAAGGAAAGCGGAATTGGACGAGAAAATGGCGTTGAAGCATATATGTCATGTACGCTTCAGTGTCATTTCAGACCTAGGTTCCTCCCTCATGATTCGAGCAGACACTCAGAGCAAGTCAACCATTGTCAACGTCGCTTCGGCAGAGGAGACGAGGGAGGTTCAGGATTGGTTCGCCGAAGGAGATGGTTCTGGCAAGCGATACGGATGATCAAAATTATAGAATATTTCGTGGCGTCCCCGTCCTTAATCCTATATGCATTACTGTCGTCCTGCTTACTGCTTGAGTCAAAGATTATGCAAGTTCGAGTTGTTGCATCATATGTGACTGGCAGTTCTGACCATAACATGTATCAATACCATTCCAAGGCTCCTGTCCGATGGAGTGCTCGGTGGCAGCCCAGAAGCTGATCGTTCCCGATCGACTGCATAGCGCAGCTCATGTCAGAAATGTGGACGCTTGAATGCACTAAGATCTGAAGTTGCGTATATAAAGTGAATCGTTCGTCTCGTTCATTCTTCGCAGCCTCAGGTCTCACCTTCGAGACGAGAGCATTATCAACCTGTCTGCGGGATTCGACTAGCCGACTGACGTCCGACACTCTGCCCGATGGAAACACAGTCATCGTGGTCGAATTTAGGGGTGAGTGTGACCTAGTCTCTTATCGAAGCTGGTCCCGGATCTGATATCGCATGGAATTGTGCAGCAGTCAAGCCCCCCGGAATGCGACTCTACTCAGCGCACCGAATGCAACCCGACGCGGCCAAGAGGGAGTGATAAGGTAGGTGCAGGCTTGACAGTTTGAATCACTGTGTATTAACGCGGAAAAGATTTCAGCAGGTGCTGATACGACAGCGAGACTCAAGGGGCACACAGCGGGCTATCGCATTCCATACGCAGCAGAAGATCAACCGGTTTATGGAACAGACGATCCAACTCACTGGCCGCTAGAAAAGACTCTTTGGATTGTTGGGTTTGTGTTCTTCCCATGCTGGATTTTTGGCGGATTTCGGCGACAAAGTGCTCAATATGACCCTCGTGCGTATTGCGAACCACAAGAATGCTTGGCCTTGGGCCGCTGATGTCCCGGACATTCTTCAGTGACTGATCTTTTTCGCTGGCGCTGTCAAGCTATGATGATGATTCTCACTATTGTTGGGGTGGGAATCATGGTGATCGAGGTAGCTTTCAAGGGGAAGTAATAAATGCTGCTACCTATTCTCTGCTAGATGTGACATTAGTAGTGAGGACAACTGACATTGAAAAGATATAATACACAATGTTCTTGCATGACGTACAAAATAATCTCCCAAAATCACAAGATACATATACGCCAGGCTTATTAAGCTGTAGTTCTGACAGCCTCCTTCGCCTCGGTCTGTGGCACATATTGTCAGAAGGAGTCGTATTTGATCACAAACATGATGCTTACCTCCCCCAGCTCAACAGGCGCTTCGTCGACGAAGTCTGGCGCCCTATTCAGATCCGTCAAATAAGAAGCCCCTTCTTCCTCTTCGTCCAATTCTAACGCGTCCAATTCTGGATTTCATGAGCGTGAGTAGATTTGGATTTATATAGAACATACCAGCCTGCAGGTCAGCTTCGTCAATCTCGTCAGGGACAGCGTATGATCTCCCCAATGATTCCTGGATTTCGTTTGCCTGCTCCAATAAATCTTCCATATCGTAGTGAATACTCTATCAAACTCGTTAGCTGCGCCAGTCATCGTGTTAGACGAGCAGATGTACCTCTATCTTGTCAATATCAATCTTCCCATATTGTTTCCTCAACTCCTTGTTTGCTTGCTTCATAGCGTCTACAGTGGCCATTGTGTTTCGCAAGTTCTCTGTCGCCAGTGAGGCAGATTCCATATTAAATGTTTGCTGGGTAAGCTGGGCAAGCTGCGATTCGTACATCCGTTTCTGTCTGAGTGTACGAATGGCACGCTCTTGTATTGCATTCTAGCTCATCGAGAATCGGGAACGATAGTCAAACACAAAACCAGGCAAAGATGACATAGGGACACTACCTTGCCGGGTCCGTTACGCAGTTTACTCATCTGATCCTTGTATCTCGCGAGTTCCCCATCGAGTTTCTTTATCTTGACCTCGACGGATGCCATTCGAGAGTCTGTCTAGCATGATCGCTCTCGTGAAGACGGGGATGCTACGGACGATTGTGGCACTGACCGAGGTAATAGCATCTTGCAGCGACGGTTTGGGTTTCTTACTCGCAGATGTCCCGAATATGCGATTCATAGCGTGACGGAGCTATAGCTGTGCGGCTGCGAATATATAGTCCAGTGCAAGAAGTCGCCGCAGCCAACAAGCGAGTCAAGACAGGACGCGGTCGCTGCCGACACGTCTCGATCATATTCGTGTAATGCCGAATTTGGTAAGCCATAAGTAGTAAGTTGGCACTGTGCTCGGCTGGTCTGGCAGCAAGCCCCACCACTGCATGATGGTTGCACTCTCCCTCGCCATTCCCTCCTCTTCGTGTGGAAGCCCCAGATATCCTGGATGTTCGCCCCCTTGCTATCTTGTTCTCTGCTAATGCTTGGCATTCAGATTCTTGGCGGCCGAGTCCTCGGATACCATGCAACCACCTGCTGGTTGGCGTTGATATGGACACTTATCGCGCGTTCGCTATTCGTAGAAAATGTGGGTGATCCCCATCAAGGACTCGAGCCGGCCTCGATTTCTCCGCTAGCTTTCGATAACTATGTTCACATGCCCAGCATTGTCAGTGCTCCAGTACTTGAATGGGGCAGATTAGATAGGCTTATCCTCAGAGCCGGCATAGCGAGGGAATGGGAGTATATAGATGTCTGTGGGGAGTGACATTTCTCCCTTCGTGATTTGTGCACCATGGCCGACCAGCTTGTCCAACATAACCTCGCCGTTGACTCTGCTCCGGCAGATGATCACAACACCAGCAGTTCAGACGAGAAGAAGAGCTTGGATGCGTCTGTAGAAATCAAGAGCACTGATGCTGGTATTCTTGCCGTGGATGATCTCGCCTACAAAGACGAAGCGTTAAAACTGGTTGGGCTCGAACGGACAGAAGTCTTCAGCGAAGAATATTACCGTCGCCTTCGACGAAAGCTTGTTTGTTCCCGTCTGAAGTTTCTCTAATGATAGATCACTCATCATTTGAATGTCGCAGGACTTAACCATCCCTCCCCTTTGCAGTATGGTGTATTGCACGCAATATTTGTACGTCTGCCATGCTCGATGCAGAACCAACTGTCGGTCTAAATATTAATATAAATCATCAGAGACAAGACTGCATTAAATTATGCGAGGTACCATTACCCCGCTTGTATTCCCATATTTTTCTTACCGCCTGCCAGCATCATGGGGTTTCCTGTCACAGGCCAAGTTAGTACCGCGCCCTCAGGGTTATTCTACTCTCATCCCTTCTTGAAATTTTCACAGGGATATAATCTCGTTGCTCTATCATTCTACATTGGTATGTTTCATTGCATTCGTATCATAGACGCTTACTTACTCGGATTCATGGAATTAGGCTTCCTCGTCTGGGTTTTCCCGACTATGTACATTTCTCAGAAGACACGTATTGCTAAGTATTTGGGGATAAATGTCGTTTTATGGGGCATCGTTATGATGCTCCACGCCATTCCGCGCACGTTTGCACCCTTTTTTGTATTACGATTGATTTTGGGTATGTCGATGTGTCAGTATGTGATAAGGGTTTAATGACATTAACGGGTATCCAGGGATGCTCGAGAGCTGCGTCGCCCCCATTCTCATTCTCATTATATCCATGTTTTACAAGAAATCAGAACAGGTGCGAATCTACATTGTGCTATCAACTTTTGAGGTTGAGTCCGCTTGTAGGCTTCTAGGATATCGTGGTTTTACATGATGGTGAGTCAAAGATATAAATTATATGTCCTGTTCGATATCTATATACTATCCAGAACGGGTTTTCGTCAATCATTGGTGGTTTCCTCGCATATGTGAGTTCATTGTTCTCAGTTCATCGCCGAGGTGATTCTCAACGACATCGGATAGGGCGTGTCGTACACCTCCGATCCCAACCTCCCTTCCTACAAGATCATCTATATCCTGCTGGGGGCACTCGCCATCTTATCTGGGATTGCTGTTCTCTTGTGGATGCCTGATTCTCCTACAAATGCTAGAATGCTGAGTAGAGAGGAGAAGATTGCAGCCATAGAGCGTATCCGAGACGATCAAGGTGGGACCGAGAACAAGAAGCTCAAGAAAGATCAACTCATAGAGACGCTTACTGATCTGAGAACTTGGCTTGTGGTTCTATCGACGCTCCTCAGTCAGTGCTGTCCCATCAGATTCTTATAATAAGCTGTTCAGACTGACTTGATGCTCTGTAGCCAACATCCCTAACGGCGGACTAGCCAACTGTGCGCATCACCTCCCGACGTTCGTTTGTCATGACTAATCTCTCTGTAGTCAGTAACATCATTATCAAGGTCTGGTCATTAAATTTCACATTCCCTGGCATATGATCTGACAGCATGAGGCCTATCTAGAATTTTGGTTATACGTGAGTTTGTTTACACTAAACCTGTGATCGTTCTGTTCATTTTATGTGCAGAACGAAACAAACCCTCATCTTAGCAACTCCCGCAGGCCTTATCGGTATTATTACGACTCCTTTGGTTGGCTGGTGGTCAGACAAGAAGGTATGTGAGGATCTCGCAAGAGTGCAGATTGAGCTCAAACACTATACGCATAGGGGGAGAGAATGCTCCCAATCGTGTATATTCTGATTCCAACATTAGTTGGTGCGGCAATGCTCGTCGGATTGAACGGCTCAACGGACAAGGGTGCACTGCTATTTGGTGTGTAGTTTTGTTTTTCTGATGATTATCAAGCTCATTCTGTGAATCCTTGATAGCAACGTACATAATTGGCACATACGGGTCTTCACTTTCTCAAATCTACGCGTACAATGCGAGTAATACAAGCGGGCACACCAAAAAGGTGACCATCAACGCCATCACTCTGGCCACCTTTTGCGTTGCCAACATCGTTGGCACGGAAACATTCTTGCCTCAAGATGCACCGAACTACATCCAAGGCAAGATTTCGATTCTAGTTTTGCTCAGCGCGGAGTGCTTCCTTTGCCTATTCATGCGTTGGTACAATTTACATCTGAACAAGGGCAAGCGACAGGCCATTGCCCAATTAAAGAGGGACAATGGGTGGACTGACGCAGACATAGCAAAAGAGCGTGAGCGACACGCGTTCCTCGACATGACCGATAAACAGTACGTATTCTCCATTGAAATGCGACTCAAGACTGAAAAGTGCCCGACGTTTTCAGGAACCCTTACTTTGTGTATACTGCATGATGCGTACATTTTATAACCTTAAAACGGATTGTTACCAGATACTTTAGACATGTTTTAACCGATATTTGTATTATGAAGTGCGCTGTGATACTTGCGTCTGAGGTCCAATTTAAGCCCCATCGCCGCTTTTAACAATGCATTCGCATGACGCATCAGAGGCCACCGCCGCAACCCGATTAGGCAGGTGACGTGGATGAAGAGTATGGATGACGGAGCAGCACGTATTCCGAGATGTCAAACATGGTTGTACTCTTAGCTATCCCTAACTTGCATCCAATACCTCAATATCTAGCTAATTCTGAGTCTCGTTAGCTGTGTTTCGCTTGGCTTTTAGGTCGCTTCTTTCGAGTAGGACGAAGCCAGCTAGATCTTTCAGGTTAGACTTAGTAACTTGGTGGCTGGTCTAATGCCGAACCTGGACCCGAAGAGCATTCCACTAGCCTACGAAAACCTACGCTCAGATTCAATATCTCAGATAAATAAAGATGACTTTATCTCCGCATTCGTAGAATCTCAAAAGACTTTCCTGGCTACATACGCTACGGAGGGCCGAGCTTCGTGGGATATGGAACTATCTGGTACCACCCATCTGCCTCCATCCACTGATGAAGATCCGGATATTGTCAGCTTTGGGTTCAACACACCCATCTTAAAGCCTCGCGTACACAAGGGGCATGCTCAACAATCCGGTCAATCTAATAAGAATGTGACTACTGCTAAGCGCACTCGCAGAGACTCAGAAATTGCCCAAACTCCCAACAAGAACATCTCTCTGCTCAATGGTGAATGTTCACCCAAGGTTTCCGAAACCGCGAAACGCGGGCAGAAGAAGCGTCCTACCAAAGGAGTCAAGGCCGTGCAGAAGACGCTCAACGACTTCACGGCTATCAAGAGCCAACCACCCAAATCGACTAAGGCCGCGGGCACTAAACGCATGAGAAGTCCGAGTGATACAGACGAAGAACGATCAGCGCGTGCGTAGTTCTCTTTATTCAGCTGAGCAGTGATTGAAGGGGAATGACATAGGCATGGCCGAGAGGCGCGAGCGGAGAAGGAAGAAACGAACCATCGTGCAGCCGAAAGCCGATCATAATAACGAAGAACGAGTGGACAAGCACCCCGGCAAAAAGCGAGGAGAAAAAACCAAAGGATTCGCTGCTGGCCTAGCACTTATGCATGGATTCTCCGCTAAGAACATCGGCAAGCAGAGACTCACGGTAAGTATTTATACTGTTACTCTCATAAACATGGCATGATCTAAACAAAATAGTTGCCTCCCGATCAAAACATCGGCGTATTCAGCAAGGGAAAGGCATCGGCGAAGGTTGCAGTGGAGAGTGCCTCGAAGAAGCGTAGTAAGTTGGCTGTTCAAACAAGTGGTCGAATCCCTGCACTCACATGATTTTCCTAAAAGCTGGCTTGATACATTTCTCAGAGACCAAATTCTTAGGCAACATCCGATGCAGTGCACCACACGCGTCCGACAGCGAAGGACCCTCCACACGGTGTTCTTCTCCGTCTGGAGAACTCAAAGAGCCGCCTAAGCGCTGTCAGAAGAACAAACACCGCTCAGAGATATCAAATGCTCCAAGCAGTCAGGGGAATGAAGAGACTCGATTGAAGAGAAATGGGTATTCCGCCGGAGGGAGTACTGTCGACGAAAGCGTATCGAATTCGGGGGCAGACCGAGAGGCGAAGCAAAAGAAGCTATCTGAATCTATAGTTTGGGATATTGAATGCAATACGATCAGCCCGAGCATTCGATCTGGTGTTTCGCTGCCGCAGGAGCCAGATCAACAAGAAGGTTCGATGATACTAGATACTCGTGGTTTACCTTGGGGAGATCCTCAAAGCATGGAACTCCCACCAGAAGCTACGCGGAGTGACCATGCGGTCACTCGAGATGATTGCAGGCTTGAAGAGAAGCCGTATATTCAGGAGGGGTTCGCCGGAAGGAGTAGAGATGGTGCATCGAGTGCATCTCTGGGTCCTTGGCAGTCAGCTTCTCAGATTGGAAAGCTTACTCCCGAAGCTGTTCACGAGCCACTGGTCTCAAAATACTTCGACCTACCCATTTCCACAAGGATTCCAGCGTCCGGGATCAGTAACCTGCAGGATGAATCCCTCATTCAGCCTGATAGGCTGCAAGGAGATCAAACCGAAGATTTTATATGTGGTTCCCGCAATCCAACATCAACCACGGAGGTTCAAAGGAAAATGAAACACGACATTATGAATGGGATCTCATCGGACGCGAGTCTATCTGATCATACCGCATTCTCTTCGATGTCCATCGACTCTTTAGAACGTGAGCTTCTTGCACTGGGAACTTGTAGGACCCCCATAGGCTCCCCAAGAGTATTTCGTGGAGAAAATCCTGCCACGGAAGAGATCATGAGTAATCTTGACGGCCTATACGTTCAGGATCCGCTAATGGCGAAGCCTGACTCTCAATCCGGCGTCGATGGCCAGTTTGATTATTCCCATCGCCAATTTCAAGGCGTACTGCACAGCGAATTCGCTGAAACCTGTATGGACGACCTGGATGACGACACACGCTACGTCACGCAACCTGAAGTATACGACGCTCAAGATGTCGACCACGCATGTGCTCCCTATCACCAAAGATTACGGCCGGAGGAGCTGCCTTATGAATATGAGCAATCAGATAATTTCGACGACTTTCAATACGTACAGACTTCGACTCTTGCGCCCACCGGCGTATTGGAATTCGATTCAATGGTCAATAATGACTACTCTGGCAAATGTATCGTGCTTGACAGGGAGTTTGATGGACAGGCAGATCTTACAATTAGCGACAACGATTTCGACACGGGTTATCAGGTTGAAGGATCATACCTTGACCCTGGGTGCTGTGGCGCATCACCGTGGCGCCTGCGCTCGGATCGAGAGAGGAGCATGTCTCCAAGCGATCTGTCGACCGTGCCAGAGGCCAACTTTTCTCAAGGTCGCGCTCTCCTCTTAGGTTTACATGACCGTGACATGGCCAACACCCCTTCGGAGTACCACTGCATGTTATCCAAGATGGAGATCGACGTTGCCAAGTCTCTTAAGGGGCATTGGCTTCCTCAGAGAGCGTAATAGATTATAGCATTCATTCATACTCGTGAATACGTGCGAGTCACCGAATAAACATGACAAACTTTGTTGAGGAGTGCCGACGGGCGATGGCCACTGTTGCCCCGGCGATCAGACAGTCTTGAAAGTTGCAGCGTAGCAGTGGCTTTGAATGTGCTTCGGAGTGCGTGACAACACGGTGTGACTTTTGTGACAAGTCGCGTCCCCTAGAGCGCTCCTACCACATCGCCTTGACATCCCCATCGTCAATTGCCTCTTGTTCTCTTTATCAGCGTAAGGGCGCTCTGAAAATAAGAAACCTTTCCGAGAAACGGGCTCGAAAAGGAACCCTGAGATGGACCCCTCCTCGGTGCTTTATAGAGCTCGGCGGTCTCATTCACAGAAGCTGACCTAGTTTTCAGAGCAGTCTCCTCTATGTAAAACCTGAGCCTCAAGAACAGCGAATCCTGCCTCTGTCTACGTCGACGACGTATCAGAACGCGTATCCTGTCGCCGAGCGCTCCGGTATTGTCGACTCGCGGCCTGCGGGTCCCTCGGCGGCTGTGAGCGCATATTTGCGATTTTGACCATGTTTCTGACGGTCAAATCGCGTCGGATAGGGTGCCATTGTGAGCCAAAATGTGGCTGGTGCGTCAAATGGAACCACAATCGATTCAGCATTAGTGGATCTCTCCTCAGTTCTTGTGAAGGGCGAGGATGATCACACTCAAATTCCTAACCAATTGGCACTTCAAGTCGCCCCGGAATCCCTGCGTTCACTATACAATTTATATGGATCTGTAGACGAGATTGACTACTTACCCGAAAACGTCTTCAAGGAAGGGCTCGGCATGGTGAAAACCATCGACGCGAACATCAAGAAGCTGGAGCTTGGTAGTAAGTTACGAGAAGATGTCTGGGTAAGGGAGGTGGAAAGGTATGGATCTTTTTTTTTTTGGCTTGCATGCTGATGCGAAGACCCGTTTTTACCAGTCTGCAAAGTCAGGGGGCACCTACTACGATGATTGCAGTCTGTGGTGGTAAGTGTCTATCACCAATGCGCACCCTTGCCAGGTTGACTTGCTATACGTATTAGCAACTGGATCCGGGAAATCATCAACTCTTAACGCAATCCTGGATGGTATGTTATCTTCATAACTGTGCTAGAGAATTGAAGTGATGACGAATGATATTTCAAGACAACATTGTACCTACCAGCGGCATGCGAGGTATAGCCGACTTGTCTCTGCAAGTTGTCAATCTCATTGTTATACGTTTAGCCTGTACAGCAGTAGTCACTGAAATTGGATATCATACCAAGAAAACCATTGACGCGGACGTCTCCTTTTTGTCAGAAAATGAATGGCGGGATGAATTAGCTGTCTTGCTTGATGACATGATTGACGAAACTGGTAACGTGAAAAGGACTACAGATTTACGCGGAGATGCAGGTGTTGCCTGGCAGAAGGTAATGATAACTTCACGAACTGAAGAAATCTATGCTGAAATATGCCTAGGTGCATGCTGTTTACCCATTGATCACTCAAGACCAGCTTGTACAGATGTCAATTGACCAGATCATTGATCGCGATCTCAGTATGTGCATCCTGCACAATGCTAAGATCTAACATCTTATCTCTACCTCTGGCTTTAGATATCAAGGCCATCCTTGGCACCACAAAGCATATAGTTGCCAACAACTCAAAATTATTTGCCAAAAAGATTGCGAAGTACATAGACTCTAAGGATCAGAAGCGTGGAGAAAAGAAGGATAAGGAGTCGAAGGAGAAAGAGAAAGAGAAAGAAAAGGATAAGGTCAAGAGCCTGATGTCATTGTTGCGCAAGGATAATGGTAAGAAGGATGACCGTGATGACGCGGCTTTTTGGCCGCTTATCCGACAAGTCAATGTTCGCTGCAATTCGCCAGCCCTTTCAACGGGTGCTATTTTAGTCGACCTTCCCGGTGTTGCAGATGCAAACGCAGCGCGCAATAATATCGCCAAGGATTACATGAAAAAGTGCGATTGTATCTGGATTCTGGCTCCCATCACACGGGCCGTTGATGACAAGACTGCTCGAGGTAAACTCCAGCATAGTCACGCTGCGAGTAGACTTAGCCGATTACAATACTCTTCTAGACCTACTGGGCGACGCATTCAAGATGCAATTGATGAGTACGTCTACTTTCCTCTCTGACCTCAATTCGGGGACTGAGCCTAATTTTTGTTCGCAGTGGGTGAGTTCAAAGTTGTCAATGTGTGAGGCCATTGCTTATGTGGAGCTCTGGAAGATGGTATCTATGACGATCACGCAATTACATTCATAGGTGAGTAAGCTGAGATCGACACGACTTTCATGGCATGATACCGTATCTAGCGACTAAATGTGATGATGTCTCCTGTTCGGAGATCATACGCGCGTTGAATCTTGAAGATGAGACTGAGCTTGTCGTGATCGAGGCTCAAATTGATGAATGTAAGGACGGTACAGAACAGTGGAAGGATAAGAAAGCAGAAGCTGAGAAAGCTGCAAAAAGTTTGCACAATATAAATCGTATCTTCCAACGAATACTGATAGCCGTAACAGCGATGAATCGACATTTGAAGGAAATGCGAGAGTATCTAGAAGAATACGAGGCACATTTGAAAGCACTAGAGAACGGTAAATCTTTCGAACCACGTATGACTGCAAACACTGCAAACAACAAGAAATCGAACTCACAGACTGCTAGCGGAAAGAAGCGCAAGACCACTCGTGATGGCAAGCAGGGCCCCTCAAAGAAAAGAAGGGGCAGCGATGAAGACGACAGCAGCATGGCTGTAGATGACGATGATGATTTCATGGACGACGACGAGCTCGAATTCTCTGATTCTAACAGCGACAATGATTCGAGTGATTCGAGTGATAACAACGATTCTCACTCTAAATCCGAAGCCAATTTCGACAGCGACGATAACTATGGTGAGGACGATGAGACTGAAGAAGCAGAAGAAGTTACAATTGATAGCCTGAAGGCCAAAATCGAGGAAGCAAAGGACGCTATCAAAGTCGGCCGCGTGCAGCTATCGGAGTACCGCAAGGAGCGAAAAGAGGCTGCTGATATGTTGGCTACGCTGAAAAAGAGACAACTCAAAATTCAGCTAGAAAAGAATGCATTCTGTTCATTAAAACGTTCAGAGGTATTGTTCAGGTCGCCTTCAGGATTATATAGCAACTTAGTAGCTTCGCAGTTCTCTCGCGACGTTTTGAAGGAAGATTTTCGCCAAGGGTTGAAGGATCTTGATGGTACGTATTTTTCGCCTTCGCTGATGGATAAGCTGACGACGAGTACTTCAGATGCTGCGGCTGAGCAGCGCGATCCAGGGAATTTCGATACTACCGTTGACATTCGCAGTGAGTTAAAGGTTCCTAGTAAGGTCAATTCATGCCTGATACTACTTTCGGTAGACTACGCCGCTATTGATCTACCTGTCTTCACGTGTTCATCTAGGGACTATGTACGCTTGAAAGGTATGTTCTGCAAAATCACGCGTATATGCGGTGCTTACGCGGTTGCACAGGCCAGGTCAAGGGCGACGGCGACCCCACTTGTTTCTCAAAGGTCGATGATACAGGCATCCCCGAGCTGCAGAAGTGGTGTCATCAGCTGACGGCCTCCTCCCGCGAATGCGCCGCTCGTAATTTCCTCGTTCACCTGAAGACGTTTACAAATTCAGTGCGGACGTACGTGCAAGGCATAGGCGACGTGACCGTGGGCGACCGCGAGACATTGCGGGAGAAATGGGAGTCTACCCCTCTCAATGACGACGACGGGCTGGTCTCTATGCTATATAACGGGGTCTGGGGAGGCTCCGACGGCCTTGATGAAGTTGCGTATGATATCCTGGGACGAGCGGGACTCTCGTCGATGAACGCCAACAAGCTTCCTCCCAAGGTAGACAGATTCGGTGAGCGGATCGGCATAACGCCTCGACTAGTGAAAGTACGTCGAGTGCTGAGGCGGATCTTCCGAGTACATTATTGACTCGTACATGGCGCAGGATTTCAAAAAGGTAATCGATGATTGTGTTCTTCAGCTGCAGAATATCTTCCGGGAAGGCCTTGAGGAGAAGTGCCGAGTAGGGGCGGCAAATGTATGTCGTACAGCCTGTTGAATGGCCTCGTTCTTATCTTGTCGTTTTCAGGCTGCCTCTGCTGCTGTCCAGACTTCGGACTCGTTCGCGGCTGGGATGCATTGGGCGACGTACCGAGCCAGTAAGTTCATCCATGATTAGCATGTGTTTAAATAGCTGCAGACGCGTCACTCCCCAGCTCTTCGTCGACACGGATCCTGGCGCCAAGACCTCAACGTGGAGTTGACGAACCCGTTCACGCGGAACATCGCCAGTTCTTGGTCAAAGGTGTTCGAAGCTGATCTGTTCCTCGCCTTTGACAAGGCTGCTACGGATGCAATCAACAAGCTGCTTGCGGACGTGGAGGAGAGCACTGCCATCGGGCTCAAAGAGCGCGCCAAGGGCCAGGGCGAGCTTTGCCAAGAGGAGGCGCGGCTTGCGCTGAGGAAGACACTCGACATCGTAAGCGAGACAATTCAAACCGAGCAGAAGGAGATCAGCCGGTGCTTGGCGCCGCATGTGCAGAATCAGCTGGTCGAAGGGTACGATCTCGCGATGGAGGAGAGAGGGCCTGGCAGCGTCGTGCGCCAGAAGGTAACGTCGATACTGCAACCTGAGCGGACCTATTCCTGACTGTCGTTCGCGTATAGGGTGTGTTCCACGATTTCGTAGATAACATCAAGAACGAAGTCTTCAATGACGGTGCGGAGGTCATCATGGGGAGGTTGTCGAATGCCGCAGAAGCTATTGGGCGAGCGCTGGAGGATGCGCTGGAGAAGCTGGCGGAGAAGGCACGTATATGCGTTGGAGTATGTGTCACTCGTCTTGACGTCTTGCGCAGATCGAAGTCAGCATCGCCGTGCTCTGGGAGGGCCCCCGCGACGACCCATCCCAAGTCAAGGCCCGCGACGCAATTGTTGCGACCATGACCGAAATCCTGGAGCAAGTGCAATTTTGGCAACAGGCCGAACGGCGTCGACAGTTGGAAGCGCACGATTGAAGAGAGAACTTGGCCTCCAACCCAAGGCACGCGCGGCTGTCTCGTAATCGTTGTTTCTCGACTTTTTAGCGGACCCTGCTTGATCTGCTCAAGACTCTGTTTGCTCTTCTCGTTTGATATCATTGGAGTTCATCTTATCTGTTTTCGGAAATCGGAAGTCTAAATCTCAGCCAACTCCCCCCGCTGCTACACTTGTGTGTGGCACGGGCTACACTACTTTTCGGAAACTTACTGTAAGTCGTACGGTCGGTTTATGTATTTTTCTGATCATTTCATGGACGTCGCGCGGTCCGGTTCCGTGTTATTTCTTGCGTGCTACGGGGTGCTTTTGTTGTATTTTTGTATATAATAGGTGCAGAATTCTAGCCGTGACGTAGGGTAGTGCTGGCGCCGCGATATACCCTATTGCTCCAATAAATGCCAGGAACGATCGTCAGGCGAATGAAATGACATCATCAACGAAATTGACTTGGATTTCACGGGCCTTCCGTCCGACAGGCACGCGAAAACACGCGCGTACGAACGAAGATCAGAAGGTGTGCGTAGTGTACAGGGCGAGCAGCGAGGCAATAGGGCTAATGGGTACAGTATGAATGGTGCAGCGGGCTTAAATTACGTGCAGTCGGGCATGAAACAGTCTGTGCAATAGCAGTGAACGCACTCCAGTGGAGCGCAGAGAATAGCAATAGATAGGGACAAGATTCAAAGGAGCCGCCTCGGACATTCCAGCGTCGAGAGACTAGACACGGTAGATGGGCTGGCCGCGCCAGTCGACGGTGCGCCCCGAGCGCGCGTCGACGTAGTGTGCGCGGCGGGTGTCGCTGGGCTGCATGCCGAACATGCGGCGCAGGCGGTCGCCCATGGTGGGCTCGGACGGCGTCGAGTAGCGCCGCCCGGACGAGTGCGAGTGTCTGTGGGAGCCCGAGGTCTGTTGGGGGGTGCGTAAGCTCAGAATCAGGAGGAGGAGAGGAGGGGTCAGAACGCACGTAGACGGGCTGGGCAGCGCGGAGGTCGACAACGCGCGGGCTACGGTGCCGCGACTGCGAGTGGGAGCGGGTCGCGGACTGGGAGCGATGGCGCGAGTGGCCGTGACCGTGGCTGTGGCTATGGCCGGAGGAGGGGTAGCCGTGATGCGCATGCGCGCTGGACGTCGTGTAGTGGGCGCCGCTGTGTCCGGTGCTGTTGCTGCGGGTGCGTCTGTGCCCGCCTGTGGTGTCGTAGTACACTGCGGGGGAGCCCTGGCTGTAGGAGTGGGTGTAGTACGGGGCGGAGCTGACGGGCTGCTGCTGGCCGCTGTGAGTGTAGTAGACCTGGGGCTGGGAGTAGCCGCGCGAGTGGGAGTGGGAGCGCGAGACACGATGGGAGGAAGGGGCGACGTAGTAGGACGGCATGGCGGGAGCAGAGTATGTTTGTGTGAGGGCGGGGGTGGGAGTGTGGTAGGGAGACGGGTAGGGAGACTGGACGTAGTAGGTGGACATGGCGGGGAATATATGGGGGGAGGAGAGGAGAGGCGGTGGTGCGGTGGAGAGGCGATTGCATTTTGGGCGGAATTTAAGCAGTTGTGGTTCTGGCGGAGGAGTGGCTCGGACCTTCAAGGTCGCCATCTCAGATCCGTCTGCAGATCGCGCGCGCGAGATGGGCCCGCGCGTGGGATCGATCCCTGCCCTCGCCCGTCTTTCTTTGTCCCCTGCACTGCCCCCGCCCTCGCCGCGTTCCTTTCTCCCTCCTGGGTATATCCTCTTATCCTCCTAAAACACCCGCACTCTGTGAACCCCTCGTCCTGTCGGCCAGCGGCCTTGGGAACATCACCTCTGTTTCACTCCCTGTCCAGTCACGCGCCCCGACGAGCGGATGTCCTCACTCGCACCTGCTCTTGACCTCCACGTCTGCGCACCAAAACGTGCTGTCGACGCTCCGTGTCATCCTCCGAGCCAACCTAGCATTACAAAGCCCTGCGATCACGGCCACATGTGGACACGGAGCAGTAGGTCAACATGCGCGCACGGGCAGGCCAAAGCGCATCTTCCCCCGCCACTCCTACTCCACCTGCCCGTTCCGCACATCAGTACCGCCAGCCCGCAGCCAACGCCCATCTTTCCCCGGCAGTGCGCCATCACGATTCACCACAACTGCTAGCGGCGGCCTTTCGCACGAGGTGTGGCGCTCGCCACTCCAGAGGGTCCTTCTCCTCGTCCCCCTCCGGGCTCAGCAGGCCTCCTCGTCCTATCTACAGCCAAGTCTCCAGATATCTACCCCGTTTCCTTCTCTTCGGACGTGTTTCGTGCTCGTTCAGATCCACTTTCATCCACTTGGCGTCCCTGCACAGTGCAGACAACTCCAGTCTGAATGTTCATCCTGTTCACGTGTCGCTCCATTGATTCTGCTCCAACCAGTCGGACTGACTCCGCGTCGGCGTATCAGCGCAGCGTCGGCACTCTGCTCATAGCGTTTAGCCCGCGCAGCCACTACCATTCCTCACACTCACAGTCAAACTCCTTGCTGCGCGCCCTTACAAATCCCCAATCTGACGCAACCAGTGCACGCTAGCGTATACATTTTGTATGTGTGTCCCGACAGGCGCCATCCCAAGAGGTCTGTGGCCGTCCGCTCTCTCAGCTCAGACATACGCGCTGAGCTGGGCAATCGTGCCCGGTCAGCGGGTAGGTTTGCAGAGGTCGTTCATTTGACTGCCCCACCCTCACCCCGTAAATTCACTCACCCACGTCAGCGATACATATCTGCGGGGTGATGGCTTGTGTTAGCGGACGAAGCTCTCCCTTATCGCTCCCCTCTCTTCACGATCCACTCATTTTACGCGTCCCACCCATCTGCTATCTCTCCCGATTACGTACCAGGAACGATACTAGAGTTCATTAGAGTCAGCGGCCCAATGTCGTAATTCTGGGCGGGGGCGTTCTTGTGGCCGTTGGATCAATTCGCGTGTGCTCGGACGGCGGAAGACACGAGATCCACGTTGCCCCAAATGGCAATTCACCAGAGTCACCGCGATTAGTCTCAGCTAACATCTCCTTCCGCCATGCCGAGTGGGCCTCCACATCCTCGTGTTGCCACGCGCACGAATCGTCTCCACTTGGACCGGATGCATCCTGGTCTTCGCAATACCCACACCCTACTAATGCGCGCAAAATGCTATTTCGGATGTAGCACCAACACATACACGTACACGACTACCCCGTCAGCCAACTTCTGAACTGAGATGCGACAGCTCGCATCGCAGGGTCCCCATCGTGTCCACTGTTGAGAACTTTCGGAAGTGATGTGTGGCCCCTTGCACTCTATTGCAATATTATCTAGTTCCCAGCAAAGTCCACGCTTGTCGTCTGCAGTTGGTTATCTGCTACCGGTACGCGGGAGCGCCAGGATTGTTTCGCAGCGATCACCTACGACCAGTTGATCCTGCATCATTTTCTTTTCGAATATAGTGGCGTGAGCCCAATACAGCGCTACTCCATATCTGCGAAGTCACCCTCGTCGAGGTCGTGGGGCTGATGCACGACCCGCGGTTTGTGTAAATGTGTGTTGGCGAGGAGAAGGCACGAGCCGTTTTAGCACCACAGTATTGAGGATGGAAGGGTGGGATGCCGGTCAGGACGGGGTCAATCCGAGAGAGTGAAAGTACAAACCTCTTTTGGCTCCTCATCTTCGCCGTATTGCATCGTATAGTCGATGTGGCTCAAGACCGTCTCTATGGAGTCCGGATTAGTCAAATCTAGCGGGAGGAACGATACTAGTGGATGGTCCTCGATCTGTCATACGTCCAATCCCCCGGTACCGCGTATCATGATATCACACAATTTCGACACGCGTTTGACAATATGCAATTATGGCCCACGTTTGGCAAGCGAATGTAATGGGATCGTGAGACGCAGGTCAATGTGTCGGAGGGAGAATGTGCGTGTATTAGCTTCTGTCCACCAAAGGCGCGGAGGCCACGATTACGGCACGTACGAGCTGGACAATCGCCTGATTAAGCGCATGAAAGCGTGAGTTGCGTTCTGTTCTTTCCTCCCGGCTCCCGGGCGCGGATACGAGCAAGAGAGGGTCTGGGTCCAAGAACCTGCAGTTTGGCAATCAGAACAACAGAAACGGTTGGGATACCGCTGGGCACGCATGAGAACAGCGTCAGAGGGTCGGATGGCAATTTGCTGAGCATCACCGAAGGGTGACGGTCCGGTGGGGAATGTGCCACTCGCCCATGCTGCGTTACATTACGAGCGCGCGGCGGGCCGGACGAAGCACCGACACAGCGCGTGCAGCACGCCGATGGCTGGGCGCAGGAGAACAATCGAGCGACATACCTGGCGATGTCTTTCCGCGCCCGGATACCGTTCCGGCCGCTCGCGGCGTCGTTCTCGTTGTTCGTGACGAGATCCATCTTCGACATGACGTTTATCCAGGGGATCTCGAGGTTCACCATCGCCGACATTGCGGAGAGCACGCCACTGGACGGCCGGGTAAATTAAGGGGATCAGTACGCGGGGTTGAAGGCATAGCCGTGGTCGTCGAACGTTCTGGTAAGGTAGAGCAGCAGGGGACGGGGGAATGTACGTGCCTGAAAAATTTGTATTTGTCTTCCATGAATTGCGACTCGATGAGGTAGGCGGCACATGTGCGCAGGCCGAGACGATTCAGCTGTCGCACGAGGGTCGGTAGGAAGGGGTGATGGGTGAAGAGCTCGATTTGGCCTTCAATTGTCGTTGTGAGAGGTCATGCGTACAAAGATTTGTTGGCTTACCTGGGCAGTCGATGATGAGGTAGTCATCGTCAAACCCACCGAGCTCTTCCTCCAGCCAGTCCATGTTCTCGAGCAGATATCTGCAGGTCATCAGTCAGCTGCCATATTCGACGGAGGGCCTCCTCCATGGAACATTATACTTGAAAAGATGTGTCCCAGGAGCGATGGCGTTTGAATATTATACTGCACTCACTCACTCAAAACAGTATACTAGTCCGCCGTTCGGGCCATATCCGAGCTCGGACATGACGTCCTCCAAGCTGATGAGGTCGCGGATATCTATCGAAGGCTCGTACTCGAACGAGTCACTCTCCGCTGCTGGGTCAAGGTTCACGAGATGTGCGGTGCGTTTAGCGGTCTGGAGGTGCGTGAGGAGTGCATTTGAGAATGTAGATTTTCCTGCTCCGGCGGGGCCAGTGACCAGTACGGCATAGCGCATTTTGCTTAAAATGAAAGAAATCACCCAGGGCGTAGAAGATATGGACGCTGAGAGACGCAGTGTGCAACGAGATGATATACGTTCGACGCTGCAGACGAGAGGAAATTGCAGGCCGGATCCGTCGCGCGTCTCCGGATTCCCGCCCTCGATCGCTCTGACTCAGACGCTCACCAGTGCACTTGCTCGCAGCTGCAGACTCGGCCACTCTCTCATCTGAGCAAGCATCGACCATGTCCAAACCAGCCATCATCCCAGATACAAGTGCGGCCGGCATCGCCGTCGACCCGCGCACCCTCGAGCGCGTCATCCCCGAATCTCGCAGATCAGACGGGTCGTACGTCCTCCGCACCTTTCCACGCGCAGACTCTTGCATCTCATCTGCACGCATCGCCACCGCTTTCATGCCTGCACAATGACACGCTAACGGTTCGGAAAACCTGCGATTCGTCGCTCACCCTGCGCGTGGTCCACGGCGTCGCTGTCGCCGCACCCCGGTGGGTCTCCTGCGCACAGGGTCCGCAAGCAGATCAAGATCCGCCCCGGATTCACGCCCCAGGAGGATGTGCGTCGCTTTCGCGGGACACGCCAGGCGCAGATGGACGCCACCGCACTCCCCAAGGGCCATGTTATTGGCTGGGCCCCGCCACCATCTGCACCGAAGCCTGCTACCTCAACCGCGAGCACTAAGAGCGCGAAGAAGAACGAAAAGCGGAAGGAGAAGCGGAAGGAGAAGAAGGACGAGACGACGAAGGTCAAAGACAGCTGGGAGGATGAGGACGAGGAAGAGGCTACTGGTGCGACAGGGGAGGGGAAAGGAACACAAGCGAAAGAGGATGGACGGGGGCCCCACAGTGAGGACAGTC